TCGATATTGTACAGCAGCAACTCTTCTGACTTAAATCAACAAATTCGTACTGCTCTTCATTATTACGAATGTTAAATTGTTTGGATAACTGGGGCTGGGGATGCAAAAGGGATATAGCGGCGTACGAATCAGACAAGTGATGAGATGATGCATTCGCTTCCCCCCAGCTCCCAATGTAGTGTATGAATTTTGACCAATCAGGGTTCATCCTTTTCGACTTTGCTGGAACGGCTGGAACATACGCCGTGCTCGTAATTAACGTACGCCATTACGTTCTAACGCGTGCTAACATACATCATACATCACACATGCAGTACGCAGCCCCTTCGGTCGTTAGAATCCTTGTTTATTTGATACACTCTCTGTCCACTGCGCAGTGCGCACCGTGTGCACTGTAAGCCTTACAGTGTAAGGGCTGGAGATTCAAAGTTAAAGAATAAGCACGATCTTCTAAATCGTGAGAATAAATTTATGGAAAGTTTACAAAAGAACGAGTAGCTTGCTACATTTGGTTTTTTATTTACTGTTCTCACAGGAATATAAACAATGGATTTTCAGATGTAGCTAAGATTATTCCTAGTTATACTATCCAAGAAAAAAGTAATAATATAATTATACTGTTTTATTTATATTGTTTTACACATATTAAGATAGTGTGTATATAAGCTAATTTATATTGTAGAAAGTCAATGTGGTAAATATATGTATATGTACATCAAAATATCGATAATTTAGCCCTGTTCTTCCGTTGATCTTGTTCGGCAGCAATACTTTTCTGAGATGCCTTTAAACCTGCAAGTTCGTTCTGCTTTTCATTGTATTTCATTATGATGTTGTTATAATGAATGGTTCCTTTAGCGTGTCTTGCCAAAGATTCCTTCAGCTTTGACGATTCCCTCTCTAATCTTAAAATATTTTCGCCAATTTGAAAATTTGCTACGTTCAGTTGCCGGTTCGATTCCGTTTTAAGACTATTCTTATTCTTTGAAATATTATTCTGTCCTTCGGTCTTAGCTGTAAAAAGATCAGTGAAATGTTTAAAAGGAAACATACAATACACGATACAATAAACAATATTTGTATACATACGTTTGTCACCTAAAGTTGCATTTATAAAATTAAATACGTTCTTCTTTTCCCGTTCTTTCTCCCTTTGATACTGTTTCTCTCTCTGTTGCTCTAGCTTTTGTTGCTGCTTTCGCATTCTACGTTCTACGGAAAATAAATCTTCGTCTCCACCAGCGTTTTCTCGCAGTTCCATGCAATGATCTGGAAAACAATATTTTATTCGAGACACGTGCACTAAGGCTGGTATTCAGAGTTGTTACTTATATTTAGGATCGCCTTGAGCATTTGCTTAAGTCCTTATTTCCTGTACAAGACAGGGACTGTAAATAAGGGATAGACAGGGATACGAAATGCTTAAGGCGATCTGAAGAATAAGTAATGGCTGTGAATACCGGCCAAAAACGCCGATTGTTAGAACACCCATTATTGGATCGCTCTATTAACTGGACTTTCTTATGTCAAAAGATTTTATGATTCGAACAATATCCTTTAGTTATCTTACTATACACAGTATGAAATAAACACGTTTGTTTTCCTGTTAATACCGATAATCGAGGTTCTACTGTAATTAATATCTGTACGTACCTAGAGATTTACCAGCTGGTAGTACCAATGCTTCAACTGGTTTTATCCTACCATCCGCACGTTTCCCAAGCCCGGTGCCAACTACATATCCCATTTGAGCCATTAATTTACTACCTATGCCACGCGTATGCTTCTCCCAGTTTCCCAGTGGCGCGTTGCCATCAACCGAGAGAAACGACTTCTGAACTATTTCTTCCTGTGAATGGTTCATCGAATCGCTTTCATTGCCACTATTTTCACTGTCAGATGTATCTGACATTTCCAACTCGGCATCACCTGCGAATGAATAAGTATACAAAAAATTAATTATGATCTTACATTTGTTTAATTACTTAACACATTGGCGCCAATGGTTCACACTTGAACGGCCCCATCGAACGGCGCGTACCACCACATAAGTGGCTAATAAATGTATATATGTTAAGTTGGTTTCGGTAAATAGAAGAAACTATCAAGTTCAAAATTTATAAAGTCGCCAGATGGTGAGACAAGCAAATTACAGTGCCGGTTAATAAGATACGTACCAAGGGGTAAGAGATCCTGAAGGAAAATTTCTGCAATGTTACCATTAGACTCGAACTTAATTCTAAAGACATCTCCTTCCTTTTCTGGCATTTTCAGTACAACAGATCTATGCCATAACTGATTCGTGTGTTTTGCCAATACTCGACTACCCATTTTTATACTTTGGAAATCGGGTTCCCTACAAAGAAAAAATTGTATCAATTTTTCTCCCTCAAACATCAGGAGATATATTTACCTGTATTCTTGTATACTAGATAATGGCACTAATTCTCCATGCGAAAATCTGCAATCGTCATCAGAAAATTTGCATTTTCCATCCAAATAATAAGGACATGGAAGCATTTCTTTGTGTGTTGGGTTTAGAAAAAGAACCCTGACCTAAACGATATAACAAATAAAATAATTAAATTTCCTTCCAATTGCACAACATTTTGATAGATAAGGAAAACGTCATTCTTTAAAACTTTCTCTAGAAAGTACACTCAAAAGTTTGGAGCATCCTCCACTTTTTGGACGAAACAAATGTTTTCACGCACATGCATTTTATTAAATATTTATTTGCAGGAAAGGTCATTACTTGTTTTGAAACTCTAGCATGCTCCAAACTGTTGAGCAGTAGTGGACATTCAATTAGCATATTGGTAAATCACCTTTATATCCTGCATATTTTTTATTCCTTTATCGTTTTGATAAACAGAGGATATCATAGCATTATGATAACCAATGCCACCCCAATTGCTACCGTGAGGAGCTCTACATTTCATGCCTTCAAGCTGCCTCAATTCATCCTGCAAGATGAACTTGCACCGTATAATTGTGTCATTTCTATGTCCTAGAGAATACTTGCGTACTGACTTCTATGTTATTGGATGTACCATCGTCTTGTTTATCCTGTTCATTTTTCACAGACTCATTCGCAGTTTTCTTCAGTTCTGCCTAACATTGAGCATTGAACAAGATGATTAATTATACTGTACAACACAACATTTTTTTTGCAATAACTACTACGTGATTCTTATTTCCATGAATCATGCATTTTTACAAAAACTGCTACTTTTCAGAAACAGTACATGATAAAGCAATTCTGTTTCCAGAGTTGTTTTTGGCATGAAAAACTCCATAAGAATCGCATAATGGATATTCCAGAAAATGAAAAAAGCTTTTTTGTTGGGCCATGTCATGATTTATTTCTTTCCAATAATTATTTAAATAATTACCTTGAACAAGGCGTATTCCTTTGCCAATGGATCATTAATATCAACATCGACATCATCGTCATCATCGTCGTCGTCGTCGTCGTCGTAATCTAAATCCTCGCTAGAATTTCCAACACCTTGCAAGCTTTCTTTCGTTAAGGTAATGAGTTCCTGGAGGTCTGCTTGCAAGCTCAACAATTTTTCCCTATCCGCGTCTTGAGTAGTTACGGCTAGAGTCGCTTGAACTTGAGCCAACTGGCGAATAAAACGAAAATCAGGATCGCAAGTAGTTTCGGTCAAACGTTGAACGGGCTTACTACCAAATGGTTATGTTGCTGCGGAGGAAAACGTCAATACAAGTTTCATTTAAATACCTGCTGTTCGTACTGTGCGATCGCCTCCTTCAAGCTTTCCACGTCTGTCATATTACACTCTATCCTCTGCACAATGTTGATTTCTAGACTCTCAGAAATTCTTCTTTTATAATGAACACAATTGACAATTTACATTCAGACTCTCACTTTCTGTTGCTTGCCGTCCGAGTAATTTAACGATCCTACATAGTGTATAGGGAACTCGTTCAATTCTGGTCCAACACACACACACACACACACACACACGGCGGCACACATAGGCAAAGGCAAATTGCAATTGCAGCAAGTTCACATGGATAGGCGATACGTCTCTATCCATACCTCGGTCGATTTCAGCAATACGTTAATTTCTAGCATTCTATATAAATGTATTTTAACCAATTTTAACTTATCTATGACTTATCGTTGGCCCTAGTGATAATGAAATAAAGTGGCCGAAATAAAGATGTCGAATTTTCAAACTCAACTTGTGTATGCTTTAGGAAACAGAACAAAGGTTTTTCCAGAATTAAAAAAAGTATTTGTTCGACCTTTAATACAAAGTTAGTATGAATTATATGCAAGTTATAAAATTGTATTAATTTGCCGAACTTAAAATGGAATTTGAATAATGTTCATAGTAGCCGTAAAGGCGATAAATCAAGAGTACATAGAGGAAGGAATATTGGATAGAATAAGTAAAAAATACAATGTGCCAGAAGAAACTGTGGATGAATATTACTCAGTTATTTTTACAGTATTAAGAATTAATTTGGGTACGTTATCCCAGAATGTAAAGCCAGCAGAATTTAAACAACTACTAGAAGAGTTGAAGTATGTATCTCTGCCAAGTTTATGTTTTAACATGTTATTTTTAATGTTTATTATAAAAGAGTTATGTTATTTTAATAGATTATCTGCAGAATGTATCGATGATCTATCTACAGTTGTATATGGCCTGAAAAGGCCAGAATTAATATCTGGTTTAGTACAAAAAACAAAGTTCTATCCTCATCTAATAGCCTGCAAGTGGCGAATAGACATCACTATTTCCTCCAGGTAATTCCAAATTATTTATTGACCACGAATTTTATAGTTTTATACTAAACTAGTATTAAAGGAGATTTATTTATTATTTTGCATTTTTTAGCATACTAAATAGAGTTTTGGAACCACATATCATAATGGAATGGACGTTTAGCAATGGAAAACGCCAGATATTTGAACTATCACTGACGAAGTTTCATCAACTGAGACATGCCATAGCAACGATTCTTGTAGAAATGCAAAAGGTTGAACAACAATGTGCCTCGAAAAATATTATATGCAGTTGATAATGGAGAAACCAACTATACTATGTATCCATTCTTTTGTGCAATATTACATTAAAAAAAGAAACTAATATAGACTATCTCTTTTATAGCTGAAATAAAACAGTACATGAGTAAATATGTAATATAAATTAAGATTGTAAGCTATTTGAATTTTTTTCTTAAAAACTAACAACGATTTTTATCTATTGCTATTATCATGAGCTATGAGACTCGTCTAGAGATTCACTGTAAATTTAAAGTCTCTAATATTAATAGTTTACAAGATATAATTATTTTTGTACGATACAGTTGTAATATTGGAGTCTCATGAGATTACAACGTTTCAGAATTTGTTTCTTTAAAACTAGGAATTCTATTTAAGTGATTTTCACACACGTTTTAGATATAGGATTGATCTAGTTTTGTTGCAAATTTGAAGTACGATTAGTTTTATTCAATCGAAGAATTTATTCCCCATATACAATTAATTTAATTAAAAATTCTTTCTATATTCGACAATGTCGTATATACATGCTACACCAACTTAATAAATTGCATTGATCTAATAAAATAAGTACCAAATCACTGTACCAGATACATAACAGTACTAATAGTAGAGCAAAATAGGAGAAGCGCCTTACACCAACACGTTTGTACGTGTCGGTGGATCTGTTTAAAGTCTGAAAGGAATCGTAGTATTTCGTGAAAATGTCATCGTTGTTAAAAAATTGTTGGAGGCTCTCACGAAGTCTTCCTGTTTCAACATCAATATGTAAAACAATTTATCTAATAATTATTTAATGTTATCGTTCTTATATTATGTAATTAATCATCAAACTAAATTGATAGGTTATCCAAAAGTTTTCCCTTCGATAAGGACATACACTACGGAAACTGAAAAACCAGAAGCACGACGTGCGTAAAACAATTTATCAATTAAACATTTCACTATAACTAAACCACATCAACAAAAATAATTGTTTTTAAGAACACTTCATTCAGCTACTTTTTAATCTATACTTTCCTGATCTTTCATATTATGCTAATTTATTATTTTTTATAGCAACAATACGTCAAGTCACAACAGAATTGACAGAGTTGAAAGATATGGGTGCATACATTTCTGCATGCCTTCCCAAGTACGTGCAGAAAGTTCAGATAGTTACTGGTGACGAACTCGAGGTAATGGTTTGTCGAGAAGGAATCTATCCAACAATGAAATTTTTAAGAAATCATCATCATACACAGTATACTTCATTATCAGATATTACTGCAGTAGATGTCCCTTCCAGGAAATATAGATTTGAAGTAAGAGATTACTTTCAATACTCACTTCACAGTATTTCACATCACATATTGTATAATATAAATATTACCTTGTAATTTCCAAACTTCTAGATCGTTTACAATCTTCTTTCCCTAACATTTAACTCCCGTATTCGAGTTAAAACTTATACAGATGAATTAACACCTGTATCATCAGTAGAGGAAGTCTTTGACGCTGCCAACTGGTATGAACGAGAAGTCTGGGATATGTTTGGTGTACTTTTTGAAGGTAATACGGATCTCCGTAGAATTCTTACTGATTACGGTTTCGAGGGGCATCCAATGAGAAAAGATTTCCCCCTTAGCGGTTTTGTCGAGGTAATTTCTCATTAATTCCATATAATAATAATATTTCTTACAGAAGAATTTAGAAAGAGTTATTTGACTGGTCTATAATAGATTTAACGTTACATAAGTAGTTAAAACACAAAAGAAATTATTGTTTGAATTTCGTTATGAAATATAAAGAAACTTTTTCTCCAACTCAATACTTTATTCGTGTGAATTCGTAATGTAATTCAATATTTTTAGGTACGCTACGACGATGAATTAAAGAGAGTTGTATGCGAGCCGCTGGAATTGACGCAAGAATTCCGCAAATTTGAATTATCTGCTCCCTGGGAACAATTCCCTAATTTCCGTGGAATCGCTCCTCCTACCGAAGAAACTGAGAAGACAGAACCGAAGGATCCTAAAGATAAGAAGTAAATTTATTTTAGGAATAATAAACCTATAGAAAAAGGGATATATAACATAGTTTCTACATATTATTTATTTAATAGTAACTTTTTAATCTATACTTTCCTGATCTTTCATATTATGCTAATTTATTATTTTTTATAGCAACAATACGTCAAGTCACAACAGAATTGACAGAGTTGAAAGATATGGGTGCATACATTTCTGCATGCCTTCCCAAGTACGTGCAGAAAGTTCAGATAGTTACTGGTGACGAACTCGAGGTAATGGTTTGTCGAGAAGGAATCTATCCAACAATGAAATTTTTAAGAAATCATCATCATACACAGTATACTTCATTATCAGATATTACTGCAGTAGATGTCCCTTCCAGGAAATATAGATTTGAAGTAAGAGATTACTTTCAATACTCACTTCACAGTATTTCACATCACATATTGTATAATATAAATATTACCTTGTAATTTCCAAACTTCTAGATCGTTTACAATCTTCTTTCCCTAACATTTAACTCCCGTATTCGAGTTAAAACTTATACAGATGAATTAACACCTGTATCATCAGTAGAGGAAGTCTTTGACGCTGCCAACTGGTATGAACGAGAAGTCTGGGATATGTTTGGTGTACTTTTTGAAGGTAATACGGATCTCCGTAGAATTCTTACTGATTACGGTTTCGAGGGGCATCCAATGAGAAAAGATTTCCCCCTTAGCGGTTTTGTCGAGGTAATTTCTCATTAATTCCATATAATAATAATATTTCTTACAGAAGAATTTAGAAAGAGTTATTTGACTGGTCTATAATAGATTTAACGTTACATAAGTAGTTAAAACACAAAAGAAATTATTGTTTAAATTTCGTTATGAAATATAAAGAAACTTTTTCTCCAACTCAATACTTTATTCGTGTGAATTCGTAATGTAATTCAATATTTTTAGGTACGCTACGACGATGAATTAAAGAGAGTTGTATGCGAGCCGCTGGAATTGACGCAAGAATTCCGCAAATTTGAATTATCTGCTCCCTGGGAACAATTCCCTAATTTCCGTGGAATCGCTCCTCCTACCGAAGAAACTGAGAAGACAGAACCGAAGGATCCTAAAGATAAGAAGTAAATTTATTTTAGGAATAATAAACCTATAGAAAAAGGGATATATAACATAGTTTCTACATATTATTTATTTAATAGTATCCGCGAACAATGATACTATTATCTATCCTTTTAAATAAAATAGAATAAACACGAACACGGAGAGTTTTGTATAATACGTTCATTTTCTGTGTCGTATGCTCCAAATGAAGAATACGTATTTTGTATTGTTATTTATTTTACATATTGTATAATATAAACTTAATTTGATAATTACAAAGTGCTTATTTTCTAATTGTAAGGCATATTTTTCGGTGGCTTACAAACAAATCGAATTTATAACAAAAATTGACTGATCTATTCACGTGTATATAACAATAGGAAATACAGCATACTTATCCCCGTTTCTTAGAGGTCTGTATAAAGTACTTTGCTTTTTACAATTACATATTATACATATGCTAAGAACATTTTACATGCACCAACTTATATTATTGCATCTTTCATATTCTTTTTTTGACAATAGCACCACGATGCAGTGCGCCGTTGAACTAAGTACTTACTTAATCATTAGACTGTGGATTTTTTTGCAAAATACAAGTTTTAAGGTATCAATTTAATAAGTGATATTTACTGAGAATATCCTTTCATAATTTAAACATCATGCTATGCATTTTACAGTTGATATTTATGCACTTTTCTCCACTACATGTATTTTTTACGGTTTTTACATACCCAATTTTGTTATAAATGCATAAGATCCGCAGCCTATTAATTATATGTCCGTGTGTTCGTTTTAATAGCAACAACAATTTACTTTCGCTGAATAAGTGTTCATTTTTCTTTTTCAAGAATAAGGCAAGATACTTCCAATGAGAAAAAGAAACGATCGTGTTTCTTAAAAATATATCTTTCGAAAATTGTCTTCTTATCAATCCACCTGAAAATGTGCGCGTGGATCGTCTATATAACATCACAGTGCCAGTGGTGTATATGTACATTGATAAACATTCATTCTAACATCACAGTATTCCATAATTGTATTCTCGTTACCACTTATCGTTATAGACAATTAGATTTCGTCCCTATAATGATCGTACCGCAATTAAACTGACCGTTGGCTATTATAATTGCTCAATTCCATCGGTGAGACGCGCTACAACTTTTCCGGCTGACACGCCTCCTTCGCCGCGTTTCTCTGTCTCCTTCTAATGAACGGAACGAAGCCCCATAACGACGCGCCCACCACTAGAATGATTCCTAGAATGCTGAAGATCGGCCCGTAGCTATGGATCTGTTCATATATGATGCCGCAAATCGGTGGCCCGATTAGCTGTATGATACCGTTAACGAATAGCGAGATACCGTAAGAAGAGGTCAACTTTTCGGTCCCCAACATATCAGCCATAATGACCGCAGTGATGCCGACGTAAATACCGGATGCTAAGCCGAAAACGCCGCAAGAAACCGACAAGAGGGAGTAGGTCTTTGCTAATGGGAGCAGAGCTAACGAGATTCCAGATATAAGTAAACCTCCAACGAAGTACCAGTGCTTCGGCATGATCGCGACATCGGAGAGAGCGGAACCACCAATACGTCCTATCAAGTCTAGGATCGACACGGTAGAAAGCAGCAGATTGGACATGTTCTTGTCAAAACCTAGCGAGATCGCGTACGCCGGTAGTAATATAACGAAGTTCGTGTAGCTGACCGCGTTCGTTGAATTCGAGATCAGGATCACCAAATAAATAGGATCCTTTAATAGACTGAAATCGAAGAATTTCTTGCTTTCTTTGTTTTCGTCTTTGGTCGTCTCCTCGGCGCCTTTTCTCGTGAACGTGCTCGATATCGCGTTCAGTGTCAACGTGGACGTCATCTCAGGATGTAGCGCGGACAGCGTGCTGCCGTGATAAGGTGTGCTGATATAATTGAATGACGATGTGCTCGGAGATTGGAATGGAGATTTCTGACGCCTGGACAGTCTTGAGTCAGCGCCGCGTTCCGGGACCGCGTGCAATGCTGGCGTGCTGTGCATCTGCCCGGTTATCTCCCGTCCCGTGGGCATGCTGATCTTCCTCGTACGGCCCTGTACGGGCGTGTTCTTGTAATATTCTAACGCGACGCTGGACGCGCTTTTTGGCACGATCGGTGCGGCTTTCTCGTTCGAAGCAATAACATAGTTCGTTTGCTTCTCGTCTTCCGGGCTAGCTATCGTCATTGACATAGCGTTCTCCGGGTCAACGTCGTCGGCTTTCGCTGACGACGAGGCTGGCACCATGTGCTTTTCCACCGGTTCGTACAAAAGAGCGCTCGCCCAAACATTTAAAGTGACAGCGCCCAATATTAATACCGCGCCTCTGGAAAAAAGCAAAACGAAGTTTTAACGTTTATCATGTTCCATCAATTGATACGATTTGCTCATAGAGCTCACATTTATTGTCATTCCATGGCTGTTGGGAAAAGAAAATTGTTATATTTCGTTAAATTACATAAAGTTAAAATATTGGGTTGGGGAAAATGTTTCTTCGTATTTATACGAAAAGTGTAATTCCAGTTAATTGTTTCTGGCAACATTGGTTGTATCTATCAACGTGACAACCTATTCTTGTCACTTGTCAAAGTTTTCCGTCAAAAAATAGCAAAAAGTTATCGAATAAAATTATCTAAATAGTTGTGAAACGTAAGAAGATATTGATTGAATTTCGTTATGGAGTACGAAGAAACGTTTCCCTCAAACTATTATTTCTGCTTTTATAATACAAAACCTGATTAGTTTAAAACAATTTACGCTAATATGATTTAATGAAATGAAATTAACTTTTTTATATAATGATCAGCGACCCAATGGAATAAGAATAATTCGATAAAAAATAAATACTAGCGTTTACGAGAACGCTTTATTTTTTATATTAATCATATAATTATATTATACAGTATTCGATTTGAAAAAAAGTACAAAGATTAATATCACAGATCAGTTACATTCCGTTAATACTGTTAACATATTCGTTTATCATAATCTTTGGTAACAGACACAACATACTGTTGATTCTTATATTAACATATTAATATTATGCAACACATATTTCACGAATTACCATCGAGTATCACAGACAGTCTTACGTATTCCGATATACGTAAGACCGATATATCAGTTTAACTTTTTTAATGACGGACTCTATCAGAAATGATATAAGGGTGTTTCATAGTCTGCACCATGTACTTATTTACCAGTTAGGACAGACTATGACATAGACAGTGTGCGTCAATCTGAAACTCTTTTTATACTGATTAAAAAGACATGAAGTGTCGTGTTGAAGCAAAACAAGATCATTCGTTCGAAAACACTCTAGGCATTTGAAATTCGACTGTTCCGAAACAATAAGAAAATGTATAGCTGGTGTAAAGTAAAAATGTATTGCATCCTTCTTCTGGTTTTAAAAGATTTTTAGCGCGCGTTTCAGATCGCGTCACAATGTTCTGCGATACGAGAGAAGTTCATCTTCTTCGATAATTGCATTCTCTCCTCTTCTCCCGTGGAACACATTCCTCTGCAACAAAAGAAAAAATAAAACGGACGCTTAAACGGGTGGTAATAATCTGTCTCGTTATCGTTCTAGTAACATATGTATATACATAGATACTATACATATATGCAGAATAATTAAAAGGTGTACGCCTCAAGACTCGTAACTCGCGTAACGATATTCTTCCGCATTTGCATTGGAATATTCGTTTCGATCGCGGCGCTAAGTTTCATTTTTTAAAGCGCACCGCATCGTGGAAAGAATAATTCTGAGGAAATAAAAAAACAAATAGTTAAAAGAAATGAATGATGTCAACACGAAGAGCACGTCTGGACAAGCGTTACATTGCAGCAACATTCTCAGGTGATTTACAACTCCAGAATGGCTAACATTTTTCGATAAATAAAACAACGCCCATTTAGATGTCTTTAGTCTCGATAGACACATTGCACATTCATTATTAGACAGCACAAATTTTTCGTCAGCGTCAATACTTAATTGGATATTTCTTTCTATACTTTTCAGCACGTAGATATTTATTATTAGCATTATTCTTCCGACGTCTGATTTTTTTTTTAATTATAGGAAATGCGTTTTTCTAAGGTACATAAACTTTTGGGATTGACTGTATAGCCAAGAAATATAATAACAAATAAAAGAAATGTCTACTTAGAATGCAGTCTTTTAACTGGATATCATGAATGTTTTGTTTTGCATGAAAACCAACAGTCTATTAATTGTACGAAAAGAAAAAAGTATAGGAATTTGAGATATAAAAATAACGAGGAAATGAGAAATGCGATACAAGTAATTTCCGCTTGGATCAATTAATTCTACTATGCTTATCTGTGAATAAATAAAGTCGAACGGATAAAAGTTGGAGTTATCTTAATACCGTTTTTTTACGTTCACGACACGTTAACTCTAAACACGTGAGTATCACGCGTTCGCGCGCACTTGAAATGTGCAATGTGCAATGTATGTACATACTTTCAACGTCAAATCGTACGTTTCCGTGGTTCTTGCACGATCGTGTTTATTACGTATGCACACCCAACAAGAGGCACGCGTGTATGATTTATATTCCTTCACGCTCGGCTGTTCAGTAAGCATTTCCTTCTTCATATTCAAATCTTCTGTGAACGCATTTATTTTTTATGAAAACGAAACATAGATTGAATAAATGTTTTTAATTTCACGGTAATAGTCGGATAAAAGTAATATGGATCGTTTAACATCGCAGGAGCGATGCGTAGCCAAAGCGAGCCACGATTTCTCGATTAGAGGTGTCGAAATGCTCGACTCTTTCGGTTTCCGATACGGTGTGAGAACTCGCATGAACCGATGAGCTGGAATAAATCGAATGTACATACAAATGAATTTCCGTAGATTTTTATACATACGTATGCATACAGTGACTCACAAAAATATTCAGACAGCTTTTAAAGTGAAATAACTTTTTTAGTATTGGATTAAACAATATAATTTCCTGTGGAATGCTAGAAAACTTAGTTTTCTATGTAATATTTAAAAAAATTGATTAAAGATATTCGTTCGAAAAGAGTAAAAATTTGGGTTTATTTAATTTTTTATTAGCGTCTCCAATAAAAATTTGAAACATTCCGTTTGTAGATCTAACATAAGTAAATTATATGCATGTACAAAATTTCATAAATATTCGTTAATCTTGTTATGAGTTATGACCGATTAAAAATGAAGAGTTTCAAACTTGTACAATGTACGATCTATTTATTTGGATCTTTAAACTAAAAATGTTCAATTGCTGTAAGCTACTATTCGGCATTCATACTACTTAGTGCAGTCTCCGCTTCATTTAGCAGCTTACCTTATACGAACTACTTGATCCCGTTCGAACGGCATGATTTATTCGAGCTACTCGGTTTGTTCAAACTGTTCGGTTTTTTTCGAATACCCGGCTCAGTTTGTTTATCCGAAATGAGTATTATTCGGTTCGATTTTCCGAGTACTTTGATACTTCTATTCCCGACTGAAGAAGCTCATCCAAGTCTTTAAATAGCCATCCGGCCAAAGAACTCGTCTTTATCATCACGGAGCGAAGTCGTAGTAATAGGATGCGTAATACTGGTTCAAAACTATCTGGTCTCCTTTTTATCGTGCTCGTCCGAGTTGAAATGAAGCATCAAAATGTATTGCGTGCAGCGTACAGAATTCCCATTAATATTCAAATTTCAAAGCGGAATAACTTTCTTAATGGTGGATCAAACGACGATTTGTGGAAACATTGTACATGCATATAACTTAATTAGGTTTACAACCGAGATGTTTCAAATTTTTTGCGACCCTAATAAAAAAGTTAAAAATCATGCCCGCTTCTTTATCCTTCCGAACTTTGAGAACAATTTTTGTTACGTATTAAACTGCGGATTTTTATGCACTTAGAAAAGATATAACTGTATTGAATTTTGATCATTGCATTCATTATGCACAAGCGTACTAAATAATGGATGCAAAGTATATTTAATTAAAAAAAGAAATTTAATTCCTTAATTTTGTGCTCCAAATATTTTATTTTACATAAAAAAACCGCAGTCTATATATTATGCAATAAACCAGGCCTCCCAAGCCTTGTAAAGAAAATGAGGTTGTTTGATCCAATATTAAAAAGGGTAGTCTATTTTTAAGTGTGTCCGAATATTAATGGGTAGTTACTATATAACTTGATCTGCGTAAAACATCACTTTTAGACGAGACACGGAACAAGAACGAATAAAAAAATATATTTATACGGAATATGTAATCCTTACCTAAGCCACATGTGATGAGTTAAGTGCCGTTTTCGCATGCAGGCTTCGGATAACGTATGTACATATAGAATATTTCTATGCTTTTGAAAATGGAAGGTAACTCGCGGGTCTAAAGAAGCAACCTTAGTAATTGCTTCATCAAATGTGCTTTAAATAACAAAAAATTACCACTTGACGATATTATTAGCAATAATTGTGTTATTAATTGGAGGAATGTAATTTTAAAATCAGTTCTGATTAATATTATGAATACTTTTAAGCCGGGACATAATCGTACGTACGTCGAACAGTTACTATTCGTTATCATTAATGACAAGAGATTTGATATTGTGAAATTGTGAAACAGCTGTAACTAGGGGGCCGTAAATTTCACAGAGATATGCAATGAAATGGGAAGTAATGTCAGCTGGTCACGGGTCTAACGGCGCAATTGCCTCATTAAATGTATTTTAAATCACTAAACGTTACCACTTGGAGATGTTATTAGCAATAATCCATTTACTAATTGGAGGAATGTGATTTTATAATTAGTTCTGATAGAATTTAGAGTACTATTGAGCCGTAACATTATCGTACAAATGTCAAACAATTAATTTTCGTTATCATTAATGACAACAGGTTTGATAGTGGAACCGTGAAACAGGTGTAGCTAGGATGTCGTAAATCTCGCAGAGATATGCAATAACGTAGTGTAAATAAATGCACGCGCGCGTGCTTGGTCCGAAGGATCTATCGTGAAAGTAGTTATACGCATGCATGATCGATCATTTGCCGTACTTTAATTAATTGTAATAATGATATACAAATAAAATACTCACCGGAGTCAACAATCTTCACGTAAAATATTATACATACTTTCTACGGCAGTAACACTTTTTATTTACAAATCTTCACGACATCGAGAAGATAATGCACAAACTTCTCGTATTTTTCTTTAGGACACGCTAACAGTGCCGCAGATTATGTAAATGTTGGATAGATCAAGCTCACAAGTCACAGATTGTGTCAAATTTTGTCGAAAATTAAAATTAGGACATTTTAAACAAAAAAAAAATATTAATAAATCATATAAAACTTTTCAACGAAGTTTTTCATCAACGTAAAATATTTAATTTCAATAAAATCGTTTAGCAATTGGAAATTTTTATAATGATTTCATACCTGTTCTCGTTTATAAGTATAATTAAAAGAACGTACCTGTAACCATATTCTTGTAGGAGAATTCCGATGACAGGCGGAAGAAATATCGAACCTAATGCGCTACCAGAAATGCAGAGCCCGTTCGCAAGACCGCGGAGCCGCACGAAGTACGAAGTTACTATGTACACGGTTGGAGGGAAAGACAGACCTGCTCCGGTTCCTACCAGGACCCCATAACTAAACAGTTGAACAAAGAAAATTAATTAACGACTAATGTATTTACTTCATCAATTAATGTCGATGTAATAATTACCTAACACATAAAAAGGCCACGGAGTTTGCAAAATAACTTAACATCATCCCCGCAGCAGCGAAGGTTCCTCCCAGCAAAGTTACTGTCCGATAAGAATATTTAACTGATAATATACTGGACAGGGGTCCTGCAACAAGAATCAATCATGTTTAACATAAAATTGAAACTTTTTTAACCGACAGTTTTTTCAGATTAATATACTATATTTGTATTTTCTATATTTTAGTGCAATTTTTTCTGGTAGCTTGCTACCAGCTTAAATGATAATTACAACTTTAACAATGTGAGAAAACAATGTTTGTTTTCTTTTCATTTTTTACTGAAGAATTTAAGGTCAATTGGATGGTAAATAGTAGGTTTAGTGTTAAAAAATGATAATATGTATCTTACCAAGTGAACTGTATAAAAAGTAACATAACGCTGGTATCCAAGCAGCAGCAGCAGGCGAGGCATCGAAAACTTCAAGGAATTCGACAAATAAAACACCGAAAGATTTTACTGTTCCTGGTATGAGTAGATTAACCATAACAGATGCCAAAAGCACAAGCCATCCCCAGCCTCCGTCTGGTGGGACTAAGTCTTCCTCGGCTGTTACATTTTTAACTAAAAGCGAAAATAAACAATCATGGTCTGTTCATCTGTAAATATACAGTGACTCCCTTTAGTACAGCAAAGAACATGATTCTTTACATTTTTATTCGGGTCTCGAATCTTAAGTAGATCTCTGTATTTTTTCAAAATTTTTCATGTGTTTGAATCAGAGAAGAAAAATATCGAAAATCATATTCTAAAGGATGTGTATAATTTTTTATGCTTCTACCGATTTTTACGAAACTTTGTACACATATATAACTTATTTAGATCTACAAATGGGATGCTCCAAATTTTTATTGACGACTCTAATTAAAACGTTAAAAACGATGTCCTTTTTTCTTCGAAAGTCTGACGAAGAGCAATTTTTTTTAAATTTTTATTACATATTATGAACCAGGCCTCTTAATAACCCAAAGAAGATAAAGTTGATTCAAGTAATATTAAAAAAGTTATTCTATTTTGAAGTATGCCTGTCACTGTATATGTATGATAGAATAGTGTTATTTTAGCAGCTTCCTACTAATTGATTGGATACACTTCGTGACAACAAAAGAAGATCTAAAATAAGAAACAAGTCTGCTATCCTGTAGATTCGATATTTTCCATGAACAATTAGACGTAATTTTATTAGCAATTTTATTTTCGTAACAATTTAATAGTTTTCTGTCTAATGTTGTTAACTTGCATAATCTTTTTTTTCGAAACAGACTTGTTAAGCACCACGAGTAATTAAAATTTTTTACGATAATTTCATTTTATTTTTAGTCACCGAGCGAAACACTGTTACATATGTATGTGTATAAAATAAAAACACTTGACCTTTCTGCTTCTAAACTGAAGTCCAAAATATACTTTAATCTTTCAAAGACAAGTAAACAGAAATTGGTGAAACCGCTTACCTTGCTTATTGGTCCCGTTGAAATTACTTTTCTTCTCATTTTCGTTGTGCTGTGACACCAGCCTGTAGCTTCCCTTCTTGCTCGAACTAAATTTGATGTTGATTCCATTGTCTTGATCTTGGACTCGTTGCATTGTCATCGACCTTTCCTTTTTCTCGTCAAAGCGGCGCGGTAGCGCGCACACACAATCGCATAAAATTTTTACAAACGAAGAAAAGCGAAACCAATTCGCGGTGATTTACCACGAGGAAAAAAGGAATTGAAAGGAAGCACCCGCGTGAACACAGATAACCGTGAAAAGTGGCGAACGAAAGTATAACAGAGAGAAATTCTGATTTACAACAGATTCAGGCTACGATTCGTGTAGGAGATATCAATATTCACAAATAGCGGAATCGGCAGCCGTGTCTTCCTCTCTGATTGCCACGGACACTTCATCAATCTCGATCCGACGCTCGCGGTCGCACCTATATTGCCTTTTCCGTTTTTCTGATAAAGCGAGCCCCGTGAGCCGGTCATAGACCCTTCCCTGCGATTTCCTTCGAAAAAGAGGAAAATATCTTCGATGCGAGTGACCCGACGCCACCGTTAACGGCAACCCGCAATGCGCCGATGTTGTCTGCAGTTTCACCGGGGTTACAGTACCACCGCCTCTTGCTTTTGATTCACCGTCAAATTGCATAGAGCACGTGAACAATGGCATGTATGCAGGAATTCTTTATGCACAGACCTCTGTCATATCCCGTTTGATAAAGAGAACGCACGCACACCCGCGATTTCACGCACACCCGCGGTCCGAGCAAAAATCGTTACGTCTACCCAACCAAAACAACTCGTCCGCCGCGGAACGACTGATCAGCTGTGTATCACGCAGGGCCGTATTTACCACTACCTCATCCTGTCTCCCACCATATGTCTTCGGCGTTCTCAGTCTATCCAGCGGTCTTGTTCTGTCGATACCTCTCCCACTGCACGTCTGACTTTTTAAATGGCAAAGGAGAAGGAGACAGTACAATGCGGCCCTCTTCTTTCAATCACTGGGAAGTCCTCTTGCTCTTTGTCGTACCTTAAGTTCCGTAGGTCGCATGGCAAGAAAGAGTACGAACCAAGGAATAAGGGAATGGAAAATTTATGGACAGCGTACAATGGCCGAAGAATAACCCAGGGCAAACGTAGGCTTTCATCGTGGACACAATCAGCCCGACACGTTGAATCAGAAAATGACTAAACACTGATTGTGAGAATTACTAGTAGTCATAAAATCTGTATAGTGATGGAGTCTGATGAGATCCCAACATTCCCAAATCTTTTTCTCGGAAATTAGCAACGGTATTTGAATGAAAATGACTAAATACTGAGAATTGCTGATATTCACCTAATGTACATTTATAACGATTGTTTTCTTATGCAAGAACCTACATAATTACATTTGTTCTTTCTTCGAATTGATAAAATCTGCTACTAAGGTCCAGATACACATTGACTTGTTAGTGGATTTTACCAAGTAGATCCACGTTCTGTCCTCCGTCGTGCGAACGCTGTACGAATTAATATCTCGTCGCGCGCGACCGCGTCCCACTTAGGGATAGAGAAATCGAGGTAGGAAAAACAAGCCGGAGGAACAGATAAGCCTTTGGCCACGATATTGAGTGTAGCGATCGTGAAAAATTGTTTGCGGCCGGGGGCCTCACCTTTTAGCTTATCGCGAAAAAGTAAATTTCAAGCCGACTCAACGGCGGGTTTACTCACCTCTTCAAAAACTAACGATCTCATATGTGTTCACACAAAAGTTCGAGCCTTAACTCGTAAATAGACAGCGGATTTTTATGCAAAATAGAAGATTTAAAGTAGTCAGCTACAAAAATCCATTTCAGATTACAGTTTTCTTCATCATTTAAGCATTGCAATATACACTCGCTTTTTATATCTTGCATATTTTTATGCAACGTTTATACTTCCAGCATAATAGATTATTTCATAAAATCCGCACTCTACTTATATAAGCAATCCACTGGGGAAAGAAAAATGACTTTGTGCAGTATAAATAAGTGTAGCTAAATTACGAGATTAAAGAATATGAAAACGTAGAAATAAAGCAGGAAATCAAACTATGCCTCACGCGGAGATATAAGATTCTACCGTTTCGGTTATATCGCAAATTGCTGACATCGTTTGTTTGTCAGGGAAGCCATCGTGCGTACATTTAACGATGACTGTTCAAGGAATTAGAACGAAATATTTCTGATAAGCGCAGAATTCTCTCAATGGGCACTTCTGATTCTGCGAAAAATGAAAATATCGGGAACAGGCTGCTGAACATGTTCACGATATCACAATTCTATGTAAGCAATTTGTATTCAAGCTGTTTTTCCACTTGTGCACACATTCCTGTTCTACACAAATAATTGTCGCGTAAGTATAAAAGCATCGTTACCTCGAGATTTCTTTTAATCAAAGTCGGACGTTCTACTTTTTTCGAGTGCACAACGTCAGCCACTTAATTTTTATCACATATATGGAACGTCGTACGCAACAACGGATCAATATCAAATCTACGAAGCTCCGATAAGCGTGATTCGAAATATTCCGAAAATGTTGCTTCCTCGCATTATGTAATTAGATTATATAATTGCGCGCATTTTATAGCACGCCCAAATAAGACGAAAATACGTCGAGCGTGGAAGCAGGAACTTCATCGACGTGGGTTGAATCCAATAGTGCGATCGATTTGTTAGAAAAGCAGCAAATGTGTACAAGTCTATCTTGAGGAGATAAGACGAGCGGTCGGAAGACCGAGGTCCCGACGATTATGAAAAGCTATAGAGACGACGTAAATTACGAATTAACGAGCTAATTGTTCTCCATCGCGAATTAACTTGAAACGCGCAATTGACAGCGGCAACTGTATGAGTCAGTCTATATTTGTTCTTATTAAGCATCAATTGGTGTTGTGATGACAGTTATTATAAGAGGGATGCACGAGTCACCGATCCGACGCACTACGAATGCGAATTCATCTACGTATCCGGAATTTTCTCGCGAGAACTACTACGTTAGGCTATTAGAGGAATCTAACAGGAAAGTAGGGACTACCTAATCATGCAACTCGTGTGGTCTTATTCTTGGAAGTCCGTTGTGAACACTTACGTACAACTTTGCTATACGGATAAAGATACAAGAATGCGAGTAAATATTTGTGCTAGTATATCACGTTTATGAGGAAATTATAATGTCTTCTAGCTCAAATGTTTCGCTGACTACAAGCGGAAACGCTATAACAAGAACATCGAAGGATACGCACGAACGAACGGGATGTAGGTGGTGAGTCACAAAAAGTTTATTCATCACGGAAGTGTGAATGATATGTATTAAACACAATTTTGTAATTTAAAATGTAAAAAGTGAAATCGTTTTTACGGCGACGGTCATGGAAAGAGGAATGTTTATCGATAAGAATTACCTCCCCTTTCTTGCCCCTACCAACGCTCGATTACGTTAACGCAACGTCAACGTTGATGGTATAATAGGTCCTCGTAAAAACAAATACAAATAGAAATGTCTCTGTCAACAGTTTAAATTGCTTGTAAAATACTTGTTCTATGGTGCGCGTGTCAGTGTCAACAAAAATATCTTACATTGCTTTAATAAACCCCGATTGCATTCTAAGAAATAATAAGTAGTTTATGGTATTTTTATAGCTTTTGATATTCTTCACAGTTTTGTGTACTACACGCAGCATTTATAATTTTTGTATATTCTGTTTACTTATAAACGATGACTAATGATAAGATATAATTACTTTAAGATCAAAATTATAGCAGTAAAATTAAATCTTTTTAATAGAGATAGCTTTTTACTTAAATATAATGATTTATTTTAAAAGAAAACTATCGTACATTGGAATTTTACATAAAATTTAACGTACAACATTATTTTCAATCACAGTTTAGAACTTGCGAGAATTCTTAAATAACTGTCTAATGACTATTATGTTCCGTTAGGAAAATACGACATTATATAAGACTAATTTTCCAACTATTCATATCATGTATATCATGTTTATTTGTTCATGGTATCTTTGCTCTCGTTAGCATTTTCTTTTTGCTTTTGCTTTATACTGTAATCTGACAAAGCAGCTTTAATTGCATCTTCTGCAAGCACTATAATATATAAAAGAGAAAAATTAGATTTTACGGATTGTTTAATGACAGTTATTATATAAAGAGTTAAAAGTCATTGTGAAGAAACAAAAGTTTTATTGCAGGTAGTATAATGAATTCTTAAAGAAGAAAATAGTAATTGAACATTGGTAAGAGTGACTTATTATAAAAAATGGTGAAACTTGGGTTCTGTTTTCATTGGCAGTGATCCTAAATGATTTTGTAATTACAGAAAAAGAATCCATAGTAACTTAAGCAAAAACTGAAAAATAACAAGTAAGCACATAAGATAAAAGATTTTCTTTTAATGTATTAGAATTTGTACTTGAGGAAAGCAATGCAAGTCACACTGCCTGAAAAGTGACTTACACTATGACTTTTATCTCTTCATATTTAATACCATTTATGTATATAAGGAACTGATTATTATACTGTGGATGTTTATGCAAATTCCTATTTATATAAGTAAAATTAAAGAGACGAAACGCATAAAAACATTTGTTTTCTTTCCTAAATATTATAGTATTTATTTACATATTACTGTGTTTCCTTTAGTTATTGAAAATTCTCATAAATGCATAGACATCCGCAGTCTACTGATTATTATATTCGTTGTTAAAATACAGTTTTCAGTCTATAAGAAATACCGAAGCATCAAATTTAATATCACTTACTCGAACAGTGCAGCTTGACAGGTGGTAAACACAATTCTTTAGCAATGTCAGTATTTTTCAGAGCCAAAGCTTCATCAACCTGTAACACAAATTAATTAATTGCTATTATTCTATCTATAAGTTTTATACAAAGTGCATACACTAAAGAGTTACAGTCCGATTATTGTGAAATACATAGAAGATACAGAAAAGTTGGACGATAGGTGCATTTTGCATTTATCTAACCCTACCATCCAACCATTACATTTTCCATGTACTATGCCACTAATCAGTCTGCAACACTTTAACAGTATGCGCGACCAGTATAAAGAAAGTATGATACTTACAGTTTTGCCTTTAACCCATTCTGTGGCCAAGGAGCTTGAAGCAATAGCCGAGCCACAACCAAAAGTTTTGAATTTAGCATCAATGATCTTTCCTTTTTCATCAACTTTAATTTGAAGTTTCATTACATCTCCACAAGCTGGTGCTCCTACAATTCCTGTGCCAACCTTTGGATCACTCTTATCCAAAGAACCAACGTTCCTTGGATTTTCATAATGATCTATAACCTAGAAAAGTAGTAAAATAATGATAATGATAAGTCTATTCTACTATAGGCTGAACATCTATTACAACGAAGTTGCCTTGCACATATTACATATTAACATAACACTAGTTATTCTTATTTAATTATTTTACAAACTGTTGTTTGACTGTTTCAACAATATATTTATCTTTGACCCTTAACCAAGTAATTACAATCAAGAGATCAATAATTTGAAAAGCAGTTCGAAAATATTGTCATTCGTTCGGTAATCTAAATAAACATAACCTAAAGCTGGAAGAATAATTCTTATCATCGTTGTCATTTTAAAATGTGACAATGCAAAGGTCACCCTCAACAATGTTCAATATACTACGCATACTCTAATAATAGGTATAATTGTTCGAGATTGATTGCTAAAAGCAACATAAGACATCCGTCATAACTTTGATCGGCATATACAAAACGAATACATACATTTGGATGATAGAATACCGCTGGAACGCTTCGAGATATTAATTTCGAGGTACTTTTCAGCCCCGAAGGCAAAGATCGTAACAAAGACATCGCTATTTATTTACGAATTAACATTGAACACTATCAACACTTTCGTCACTTCGCGTAACCGGAACGATTGACTTGAATGTAGTTAGTCTAAATGTTGGTAATGGTAACACGCGAAATTGGCAGCCCTGCTTCTACGAGATTTATATCGAAGATTTTTTAAAATATTGCGTAAATATATTTTTTCTTGCAGTTAAAGCTGCTTTGATTTTTATTTATTGTATGAAATTGAAACCGCGTATTATATTGTGTAAGGCAAATATCCTAATTTCTGTTCACTGGCTTATTTTCTTATAATTGTAAGATAAAGAAAAATACTGTGATATGATATTTCATGCAAAAACTTATTCATAATGCATACACTTCAAGTGTGTATCAAATACACTATTTCAAAGTTGTTGAAGAGATAGGATACTCGCGATAAACGATTACGTAACCGCTATTGCAGCGTAAAACAATTTGTATCATTTCGCAACCTGTTACAACAAACGTTTTTTCAATTATCTCACTTGACGTTTACGCAATATACTCAGCATGCTCAGCAGTTCCTGATCCGTTACTAGTAACTATACAACAAGGAAAATAGACTCGACAGTCTTGAGATGAATAAAAATCCGTGTAAGGAAAGAAACAAAGGATACAATCCAAAAGTCTGCCTCGGATGGACCCAAGAATGGATGTCCCCAAGACGAATCGGGAGAAACAAATTTCTAAACGTCCGCGAGATAGTCCGTGGACCATTTTCATCGCCAAAATTGATAAGAACGAGACCCTTCGTCTCATGTACGTCCGGTCAACAATTCAGAACCATAAGCGACGATTGTTGCTCCGTGCGTCGGGGTATCCCCGATGCTTGGCGAGAATACTTGGCGTGCAGAGGTCTATGTGGCACGGCAGAGATAACTGTATTGCGAAAAAATTTGATACCTTCTTGTATCAGAAGCATAGCTACCGATAGACTCTGGAACGAGGCGGGCTTGCCCCTTATACAGGGAATTCCTGATCCGTTTAAAAGTAAATCCGTTCGTCATTGTAACTCCAATAAATACTTGCGGCAGCGACGATCTCGTAGCAAATATTTTTATTCACGGACCGGTTATGTTTACGACGGAGACGACGAGGCTGAAATAGAACGCGGCGCGGAGTGTCAATTTAATAAAAAAGGTCTGCTCCAAAAGAAGCAGAAGGAATTAAATTTAACCGAACGAGAATCACCGAGTAAGCGAGACAAGAAAGATGATTTGACAGTTTTAAAGGATGAGAAGACGCTTGTTACATCGAATAAAATAGCAGAACTTAGTCAAAGTAGGAAAAGAAAAGGCGATGATGCCGAAAAAAAGACAAATAGTACCAAGATTGAATTGAGGCCGACTATTCGTCGAACTCCAGAAAAGGCTCACGTACACAATCCAAAAGTATCTTTACCGAAAAAACGAGAAGGTGCTTCAAATGTTAAAAAGAAGATTCAGACAGAAGTTATGAAAAAGACAAGTGCAGCTGCGCAAACTGATCGAACCGTGAAGCCAAGAATCGAACAGGTACAAGATCCTCTGCCAAGCAGAAATCTTGGGATGAATACTTCGAATTCTACGTGGCCTCATGCCGTCTGTTGCAATTGTCTGTTACAAAATTATATGACATACCTTTCAGGGTTTTCAAATCGTTTAAAAGACCCAGCGAATCACGTATTATGCCAAAATTGCGAGAACGCTTATTACAAAAAACAACAGTGTAAAATACCGGCAAGAACGACGGGCCGTTATTGTACGCCGGATCTGAGAAACTATCCAAATCCAAGACCACCAACGATTTATGAATGGACAAAATTGAAGTTTTGCGATTGCGTGCAAAAAGCGAGAGGCCGATTTGGTACCGAGGAACCGGATCGTTGCAAAATTAAAACGAGACACACATTCGTTTCTAAAGAAGAGATGAAACTAATTTGTTATCGCTGCGATAGTCCTTATCTGAGGATTCAGAACAAGCAGGTAAAGAGTCTCCGTCAAAAGACATGTCCTTGCAAGAAGAAAAAGTGGAGAGTTGAACAGAAGAATCTCAAGGATCCTACTTTGAAAAGTTCAACCGCGAGGAAACGAAGGCGCAGTATTTCGTGCTCTAGCAAACGTTGCGGGACGTGCATTGGAAACAAAGATTATGTTTACCAGCCAAACCTTGAGCAATCATCGATTATCACGTATAAGAACAATGTGGTAAAAGATACGGATCACCAGCCGGAGGAAAATGGTTACAGACTGGAAGTACAGGCACTGTGCGAAGACGTGCGACGAAACGAGGGCAAGAAAGAAAAATCGAGAGTTGCTAATAGCGTAGAAGCTTATATTGCACCGTCCCATCAGAGGGATTCCAGCGTCACGATATTATATCTCGCATCAGATAGTGGAGAGGACGCAGACATATCTGACGACACAAGTAACGATTTCAGTGCATCTTACCAGATTCCGAAAGTGACTTCATTTACTTATATACAGAAGATGAAAGAGGCTGCGTCAAATGAATGGAATCGACTGAAGGATAGCTCGTCAAATCTTGACAGCTATGTTTACAAGTACGGTAACAAAACGTGTGAAAATCGAAAGAAATGCGATGACTATATTTGCCACAGTAAGGAGTTACTTCGTCCGAGAAGATCAAAAATGAAAAGGACAGTGAAATATAAAGTAATATAATATAACAAAGAATACTAGAAACACGTGGCATTATGTTAAAAGTATAAAAAATGGAAATATTATACTTTTGACATCATTTATGATGAAACGAAAACATTGTTTTTAGATGCATGGTGGATTTCAGCGTCGTATTCAATTTATAACATCAAATTTTATGATTAGAAGCAATAATAAGAACACGTTCACTGCGTGTCGTAATCAATGTTAGATTAAGACGGTAGCAATTATTACAAATAATATAATGAGGTTTATTTAAGGTAGAAATTAGGAAAATGGAAAATAAATTATTAAATCTAATTTGACTTTTTCTTAGTATTAGAACACGTTCCTTACTTATGTTTAATTAACATAATTAGAAGAAATTCGAATTAACAATTGAATTTAAATTGAGTGCGTGAAATCGTTCGAACAAGTGATCGTAACCCGGAACCATTGAGCTATATAAATAGCTCAATGCCCGGAACATGTGTCGGATATCTAACGATCGATATGTAGTATTGTGCCTAGGTGCTCCTTTCCGGCAAGTGCCAGTGCTTTGGCGGCTGCGTGTTGGGCACCGTAATCAGATAGCCCCTGGTTCAATTCCCGGTCACATAACTATCGCTACTATCCAGGGCTGTGCTTATATCAACAGCCGCGGCATCCTGGTGATTCGGGTTCAACATTAAATCCCAAGGCCAACTGGGGTAGGAAAAATATAAAAAGGGTTTTACGCTCCTGAAACACCACTCCACCCTTTCAAAACCCCTCTTCCTGAGGGGTTACAGGAGTGAAACAGAAGTGGTAGGGTAGATTGTCTGATGGTCTAGCTGGGATCGCGAGCTAGCCGGTACCTGCCCTCCGCCTCCAGTTGCTACTCAGCTCTCAGGTGTGTGTTCACCTCAAATTGCAACCATTGCAAACGAATTTGGACTGATTAAAGGCCATGATGTTTATTAACTATATGGCAACTTCTTGCCTCCTAGGTAAGTGATAATATTTATCATTTTTATATGCAACGTAATATAATATAATGTAGAAAATCGAATACGAATTTTTAAAAATGTACATGGTGAGAAAATAAATATTTTAGTTTATTACGAATGGCCCAGTGTAATTCATTGTGTGTAAAGTGACCAACAGCTGCATTTTTGATCGAGCATCGAGTTAAGACGTTTCATGCAATTAATAAATTTTCAACTAAAATTATTGAAAAACGTCTGTTATAGATTTACGGAGCCGATTTAATTCTTCTTCGTTATTTATTGCCTTTTGCATATTACCGCTGATTGACAGCGGCTATGCGCAAGAGCTGACACCAGCTGCTGGTGTTGAAAGGTAAAAAAACATCGACTTTTTGTAATTAATGACGAACTAAAAAAATTATTGAATTAAAAAATAGGTGGAACTCTCATGTTGATCAACACGAGTATAAGGTATTAATTCCTAATTCGGACATGAATTACGATAATAAAGATACAGCTCCAGTCCAGGATATTCAGATAGACAGTACTAAACCATGCAAGACTAATGTAGAATTGAAGGTTCTTGAAACAATTTTTGAAAGATTATTTGGATCAAATCATATGGACATAGAGGATAACGAATTATATGAAATTGTAATAATTTCGATATTCTGTTGGTAAGTAATATAAAAGAAACATCGAAAAATGTGTTCACGTTTAATGGAGAATCTTCTTGGCAGTGGTCTGGAAATTGTATTCACGCTGTTCTTATTTCCGATTTTCCTCATCGTCTTCATTACTGGACGTTGCTTCCGTATCAATATTGTCATAGGTCCAATTTGTCAAAGCTGTCATACATCCAATGAATTGCGAGAAAAAAAATTCAGTAGATCCATAGTTTAAATCCAGAATATTGTCCAGGCGGAATATTAATAAGCCCAAGCAAGACTAATGTAAAATTGAGGGTTCTTAAAATAATTTTTGAGAACATGTTTGGATCAAATTATACAGACATTGAGGATAACGATCCTGTTAGTTTGTAATCACTGAGATTGAAAATATGTTTATGTTTAAAAAATAATTATATTCACTGTTACAATACGGAATTTGTTTTATAATAATGTATACTAGCTATTAATAGGCATAAGAGCAAACAACTGATATTTATGTTGTATGTAAAACTAATTAATAAAAATAATAACTGTCGTTCATAAAAAATGATAAAATTATAATTAGCAACACATTTACATCTCTTCTTGATATATGTACATATATATATGTATTACTGTATGCATATTTAAGAAGTAGTATATGAGAGATTTTTCAGATTTTTATAGTGCAAAGTGAAATAGGAAAAAATTCTCGAAGCATCATTAATATTAACAATAATACTCAGTTGAATTTACTTAATTTTATTTTGTAAGTTGCCGTGGATTAAGAATTTTGAAAAAGATTATACAGTCATGTAGTACTATTATATGTGAGAATTATTTGAATTTCCTACGCATGTGCAAAATCTTCCTATACAGGCCGTCCTGTTCAATTTGCGGCTTCATTTCATTCTCGCCCTGTACTATAAGTTACAGAGTTTCCAGACCTGTTTATATAAGAGTTTAGTTTATATATAATTAATTAGTTTATATAAGATCATGTATCAGATCGTGGAATACACATGGTTAATGGTTATAGTTATAACCAATAGCTAACTTGTGGGTATCGTAAATCGGATTACACGTGCTTCGTACTAGATTATCTTTAACGATGAAATGATACAAATGATTCGGATACAGTGAATTAATGACGTATGTATCTTGAACATGAAATAAGCTTTAAAAATGAATTAATTAGATGTAGACAATAATGCATTTTTTGTCCATTTCATTTAGGTCCATTTTGTTTGATTGACTTTCACTGCCACCTGTCAATTGGTTTACGAGTCAGGTTTTATTGTATTCGTTTTGTGCATTGCGGGCTGTCGTTTTAATGTGATGCCAGAAGAGACAAAAATTGTTTAACACTACAGCGAGTGCTCTTAAAATGCATATTCATCGATATAAAAGTTATTTTAGTGCCGTGACGTCATTAATCGACGATATGGTTTAACAACACGATATTCTAGTTGCATGTATTAATTACAAATAACCTTTATTACATATTTTTCCTGTAATATGGCAAAGACTAAAACAATCAGCAAAGGCTGCCCGAAATGTGAACAGCAGGTAATTAACTATAATTTAATAGTTTTCTATTCACCCACGTTATAGTTACGTACTTATGTTAATTTTATTCTCGATGTTTCGTGATCTTATCAATGATATTTATTTTTATACATTATAATCTGATAATACCAAAAAATTATACATTTCTTTATTATTCTTTAATTTAATATAATTTATTTATTCATGATAGATATAAAATAAATTTCATTTAATTCATTTATGAATGTAGCATTATGTGTGAAATAAAATGTATTGTGTATAGACCTTGGTTTTTTATGCCAGATAAAACTTTTGTGATATCAATTTAAATGAAATGTAAATTAAGATTCCGTTTGCCCTTCAAAGGCAATAATGTATATTTTTGCACATCAAATGTATTCATTATATTTTAGCACATTAAGTTTTCTATAAATCTATAAAATCCACAGTCTCATTATTGTTCTCTATTAGCAAATATCTAGACACTAATGAAATGAATTTATAATTTGTATATATTTCTTTGCTCTATTAATCAAGGTACCCGTGGCTTGCAAAGCATGTCCATGCGGACATTCATTTTTTAATGCAAGACGTAATTCCATAAAAAGTCCTCCTAGTCCTGACAATGGGGTAATGAAAACTAGAAGAACCAATCGAATCAAACGAGAGAAACCAAATTATTACGATGCCTTGGAGTATGACAAACAGTCGAAGAAAAGTGCTAAAGTAAGTTGTTTTCTTTATAAAATTCTCTTTATAATATTTAGGAATATCAGGAATGGTTTGTGAAGGAGCTTGAATCATCACAGATTAGAAAAGCAACAGATGCTGCTAGCGATATAGACTGTAGGCAGTTAAACAAAAAGAAGAAACGAAAGGGGAAGGGTAAAGGAAAGAATGGAAGCAGTAATGGGATAGGGGATGACGACGATGAGATGGAAGGAATCAATGGTCTGTCGCCAGAGAAACAGTTGACATGCTCTTTAATACTGCAGGAATTAAACAACAAAATGAGAGTTGTCGCCTGGAAACCGACATAAGTTTTCTATATTCTAACATATTTCTTATAAGAATCGCCAGCATTAAGTTAGACTATATAATCTTTCAAAATGTTATCTCTTCATTGCGTTATATTGAGAATAGCATTAAACGAACTAATATACTGTATATAATTTTTATTAGAAATATGTATAATTAAAGTGTTTTTTAAACCGTAAGAAGTTTGCGTGATCTGTGACGAGAAATCTATTTTGCAGTAGTCAAGGTTTCAATTGGATTATCGTTTAGAAAAATGATGATCATATACGTGAAAAGAATATAACTTTTATTAAAGATCGCTGTATTCAATTACATCTGTTTTTCGTATGAAAAATATGTATTTCCTACTAAGATCGTTTGTTTCATCGCAGGACCTGCCGCAACTCTTCGTTTTCTACAAATAATCATAATATAACATGTAAATATATTGTACATAGCATTTCGTATTGTAACACATAAGGCAAATTACAACTGTGAACTATTTCTGTTTTTTCTTTTTTACGGGTGCAGTTATTTACGATGTATATGTGTACGTAACATTCTCTGTCTGATATTCATTTTTATATCGAACGTAAAATTGTAAATGATATAATGTAACGTGTTCGTTTACCAATAAAACGAGAGTCAGAGAGTGATCAGTGCGTTTGTAAAAGTTTATCAAAGTGAAACCCTTACCTGTCGCGACACGAGATATCTTTTTTTTACGTGAAAACGTATCGATTACACTGAGAACCAAGCAATACATCATAGTGGATAAATTGTAGCGACAAACTTTGCGATTTATTAGATTTCTATTACACATTCAATCACACATTCGCAAAATATCGGTTTTTGTTTCCTTATGCTTTTGCGGTCGCCTCTTCCTGACGGTTACTGTTCTCATTATCAACGGTCGACGATTTCGATACTTCGTTAAAAACCAGGAGCATAGGTAGACCTCCCATGACCATACACGTGCCCATGCACAGAAAACACACGGTGTAACTTCCAGTTACATCGCGCAGATAGCCTGAAATCACATTTCAAACAATGAATACCGCTTCGACTAGATTCCACAAATGAATTAAAACTATACCTCGACGTTTACCATGCAGAATCGAGTACCTTCGCTTTATTAACTGTAATTAATATTTCAAGCGTCTTGAGTATAATCAAGCTTTAAGGTAAAATCTCACACGTACGATGGAGGTGATAGGAGAAATACTCGTAAAAATGAAGATAAAAGTACGGAAAGTGAAAATTCTGTCTGTCAGTTTATGTTAAGAAAGTCTACATATATCTTTTGTTTCAATTATCATCTATTTCGTGGGTTCCTGGGCCTAGACAAATAGTAGACATAGCACAGTAGGCTTGGAATTTGAGTTACAGAAAATCTCTCTTTACGGAAAGTTTTCTCGTAAAACGCGCATAATCTAAAGTAACATTTTCACGTTTTATCAAGTAGGACAGTACTGAGAAATCTCTTATTTTATTGAATAAAGCAAAACTTTAGACTAGACTGTAAGATAAATTGTAAAAGGAGGAAATTCAACCAAAGCCGAGAAGCAACGATTAATAAATAAATGTCATACCTGTCAAAGGTGGGATAGAAATTGCTCCGATGCTCTGGAACATCCTAACAAGACCGTAAGTGGAAGATATTTTATCAGTTCCGTATTGGTCAGCGAGAAGGACGGGAACCAAGAGAAACCAACAACCTAAGCATAGCCCATACATGCCCACCGAGCATGCCAACACGTAGAAAGAGTGAGCCATCGGAATTGCTAATACAGCCACCCCAGCACCCACGACACTATTTAAAAATAAAAAAATTAAATTACATAAAAATTACAAAAATAAAAATTGTAATTACATAAAATATTAGTTTAAATTAATTTCAAATCTTTACAACCTTCCGATATATCCTTTCCGTCGATCGAACAGCTTCAAATCCGAAAGCCATCCGAGTCCTAATCTCCCACAGAGATCCAGCACGGCGGAAATGGCCACGAGGTATCCCGCTTCCGATTTCGTGTATCCTGCCGCATGGACGTACGCTGGGAGGTAATAGAGCATGTACGGACTACCAGTGGACATTAAGGTGACGGAGAAACACATCATGATGAATTGAGGGTTCTTCAACAGGGACAAATCAATATACTGCGCTATCCACTGCATTATCGTCTTTCTCTCTTTGGGCAGCTGCGGCTCAATCTGTGGTGGTACCGGGCATACGGCCTGCACCGATGATCGCAACGATTTCAGCGACGATCTGGCCTTATACACGCACGTAGAGTCAGTTGACAGATCCTCGACGCTGTGTAATATGCTCGAGCTACGTATCTTCGAAATTGGTTTCATGTGGAGGACCTCTCCTATCACGTCCTTCTCCTCGTCACTGTCCGTCAGCTCTATCGCCACCACGTTGTTCTGATGAAACAATTCGTTCAACAGATTATGCCTCGCGGTCGTGTCGTTGGCGAATATTAAATCTAACTTCTGCTGTTTTGCTGTCTCTAACTCCTTTTCCGTTCGATTCTCAACCTTTTCCGGCTGCCTGGCCGGCGAAGATGACGACGTGATTATCGCAGGAGCGTCATTGTTCTCCAACGGCCGGTACAGCGTCGCGCTGACGCAGACGTGGAGCATGCAACCGCCCAGCAGGAGGATCGTACCATGGAAACCGAACGTGTCCACGAGAACCTTGATCAGAAGCGGGAACACGAAACTGCCGGCTGCCGTGCCAGAAACGCATATGCCGTTCGCTAACGCTCGGTGCTTATCGAAATATTGAGAGACAAGAATGATACCCGGCGTTGTTGACAGGCCACCGCCGATACCTAGAATGCCAAATTGAACAAGAGATCACGATAACACCCGCTTCGAAGGTTTGCAGAAATTATGTCCATTGGAATTTCAAACAGCATCATTATTAGACTGCGGATCTGTATGCAAAATACACCATTTGTATCGTCAATGTGGAAAATGAAATTGAAATAGGAATTTGTTTTGTATTTTAAAAATCATAACATGTATTTCACTTTTGATATTGAATGAAATTTTTACATCTTTTGTATGTACGATTTTTTTATAAATACATAAAATTCGCAGCTTACTCCCCTGTATCATTTTCCCTAAAAATTGATCGCTTCAAATATTGTACAAAGCTTTTTATCACATGTTTTTCAGAAGAGATTTTACGTCTCATACAACTTCGAGTCGTTTTTCAGATTCTTGCTAATATACAAGCAAACGTTTACTCTTTATGTAATAATAAGATTACGAACCTGTTAAAACCCCGAACGTAAAAAAGAGATGTATCAACTTGGTGGCGAAATAGCTTATCGTTAATCCCAAAGCGCAGAACAATCCGCCAATAAAAACGACAGATCGACAACTGTATTTCTGGCACAGCATACTCGTCACCGGAGCTGTACATAAAATCAATCGCATTACAATCTTCCGTACTGATATTGCCACGTTTCTCTAACGAGAATTTGCGTCCGATCGATTTCCACTAAATTACGTTTACTCACCAAGAGCGAGGCAAAGGCAAGACAAAATAGCCGGTATCCAAGAAGCAACGGACGCCGACGAGTCTTTGAACGTTTCCATCACCTCGACGTACAACACTCCATAGGATTTGACCAATCCAGCCACCCAGAATTGAACGAAGAACGCTCCGAAGACGATGACCCAGCCGTAACCCCCGTCTAGCGGTACATGCGTCGTGTTTCTCAATTTCTTCGACTCGTTCTTCTTCAGTTTCTTCCTCCCGATGGTGACTTTCGTCGAACGGAGCTCGCGTGACTTGGCGATCAACGGTCGGGCTGTCAAGCTGGATATCGTCAATAGATTATCGTTATCCTCGTCCTCTATGGTCTCAGGGCTCTGGAGATGAGGCGGCACGATTGGCGTCGAGGTAGCCGTCGCCTGAACGGCTAAAGAGGCCGGTCTCTTCGGTGACGGCACGCCGTTGCTCAGATCGAAAACCGGCGCCGAATGAATCGACATCAGTGAGCCCAGCTGGTTCTGTTGATTCATATTCTCGTCGATGACGGTCGTCCCGACCATCTCCTGCGACGCTGTCGCACATGCGATATGCTCAACCGAATCCTGCAGGCTCCACTCACGCGGTAACGACATATTTCCGTGGCTTCTTCGTTCGTGCGACGGGGACCGTGATACATTGGAGTTACCTTGCTTTTCTACCCCTTTTCTTTCGCTTCACTCTGGCAGACCTTCTCTCTTTCTCCAAAAGAAATTACTCTTTCTAGAATCGCACTATATCTCTATCTATTTTTTCCTACTATATGTTATTTTTATCTATAAAATCTTCTTCTACCCTCGTTTACAAATTCCTTCAGTCGTTCGTTTATTCTTCCGTTGAAACTATCACAATCTCGTCAAGGCCCGGTCTGCCACCGACGTTCGACGTTCTCCGTTACCTACCCTTTCTCGACGACTTTCTTCTCACCATTTACGCGTTCTCTAAGGTTCTCCTTGCTCGGTCTAAGGGCGCTTGGTAAATAACCGAGATGAAAGGGGTGCGCACGCAGAGGAGGCCGCCACCGAGTGGAAACTTCCTCGATCGATACGCGGCCACAATTGACGCACTCGCGGTGTGGTTGCCACCACGTGGCTTCGGGACAATGCAGCCTCCCAAACGGTTTATTGTCCTCAAGATCGACCCACTTTTCCCTACAGAACACTGTCTTTGCACTTGTAATCGTTAAGGATCATGAAGGACCGAGAATTCCTCCGCAATATCTATTATACATATAGAGAATACAAATTGTATATGCAAATATATGTCATATCAGAATAAATAGCACTGTTTTATAAATAAACATTTATTGCTTATGACATTCCGGGATACGTTTCCGTTTAAAACTGATCTCTGGAACTATTTACAAGAGCCATCGAAAAATTAATTTCCAGAATACCCAAATTATGTTACGCAGTTATCAAGAAAACAGGAGGAGTCTTTATTAGTAGTTTTTCAGATTTTTGCTAACATATAATCAGAGGATGTCTCTTTATATAAGTAAATATAATGTGTATTTAATCATATTAGCATTTTTAATCCGTTCGTTATGATCACAATCATCGATCTGTCTAAATCGCGTGTTACCATCCCTTCTGCAATTTCTATTTGAACTTGTAATTACTTAAGTAGTTAGAAACAGTGAAGGTCTCAAGGAATTGTTCACCAGAGGATTAAGGAGACGTCACCAAATGTTACGACTACTGGGAATATCTCAAAGGCAACCTTGCTAGTCTTCTAATTTAAGAAAATAAGCGACCATTTAAGCCCAGTGTCACTAAGCTCCGATTAAATTAATCAATAGCAGAAGTTTACCTGCACGTCGTTCTTAAAGTAAAAATAAATTGCAATATATTTAGTGCCAGTAAAGAGTAAAATATACGATTTGTAGTTTATAATTACTTTATTACATGTTGTTTATGAAAATCATTAAGTGAATATGTTCTCGCATTTTAACAAATTCTAATGTACCTTTCTCACCCTTTAAAATAAAATCAATGATCAATGAATAATTTTAAATGATATTCTTTATTGACTCACCCTATATACATAATAGTTAAGTAATTTCTGGATAAGTTCTAAACGTTTAATGTGTCCTAAATATAAAGATCGGGTTAAGTTCGATGAGGGATGAGGGTCAATCGTGGGAAAGGGGTTGAGATGATCGGACGATTGGGTGGTGCAGATTACGTAAACGAGAGGGAAGTTATCGAAAATCGAGGAAACAGCCAAAAATTGTGATAGTGGGGACGGAGTCTGTGCGCAGCATCCGAACGGATCAATGAATCTCTGACTTCTGTCTCTCAGATCCACCTTCGCGCTCGTCGTCAACGCTGGGTCCGTTCGCCGAGCACTCGGACAAGGGCGTGAACCGTTGAACAAATGAATCGACGACTGATTTGTACGTGAACTGAATCCGGCAACTGATCGGGTACGTTCAGACCTCTCTCAGATGAACGCCGTACAGAGTAGCTGCAAATTTATGTTGATTCGCACCCTGAATTTCAATTTACTGTAACACAAACAATTGATTATTAAAAATTATTGGCTTAACTTCTATGGCTCTTTATTGCACCATTATGGTTATTGAATGAAACGCTCTCGAAACCCGTTTTTCTACCGTAGATCGAATTTCGTCATAATGAAATACGAAGGTGTCGCATTGTTCACATTCCTAATTATCCTCAATGACGAGGTGTACAATGGACTCGTCGCCAGCCAATTCAACAATCCCACATTCTATAGGATTGGCGGCGTTTTCTCCAACAACGAAAGCAAAGTGTCTTTCGAAAATACTTTGAACGTAAGTAGAATCCAAAACTTCCTTCAGTCAAATTCCATGACGCAGATGTTTGATAGAAGTTTGTTAAAATATATTTCCACACAATCGAATTTGCTTAATTATTGAATAAAATTCTTCGATCACGATCTAGACTAGTCAAATTCAAATTTAAACTGAGATTCGATCGCTCTATCTAATTATATAGATTGATCAATCACGATCCCGTAAAAGGGTACAATGCTCTCATTGTTAGTTATCGATTTCAGAATCTGAACTTCAACTCGAAGTATGTTAATAAGGGGATCACCTATAAGCACAAAGTGATAGACATGGATTCCAACCCGATTAAAACAGCTCTGAGCGTGTGTAACTCGTTAATAGCGGAAAAAGTGTACGCGGTGGTCGTGTCTCATCCTCCGACGGGCGAGCTCTCGCCAGCAGCTGTTTCATACACAAGCGGATTCTATCATATACCCGTTATAGGAATATCTTCGAGGGACTCGGCGTTCTCCGACAAGGTGAGTCTGTTTTACAGATATCGATTCCATGAAAATTCCTTTGCCTATAGAAATCGATACAAGAAGCATTAAATTACATACAGGGTGTCTCATTCGATGCAATTAATTGATGTTCGATGAATTAATCGATGTTTCTAAATTATTGTTTAGGGGTGGATGAAATTGTAAAGGGGGTCAATAATAATAAGTCGATTGGGGATCGATGGTCGATTATGTCATCGACGACTGGTCGGAATAATAAGATCAAAATTGCATTGCATACAAAGAAATGTATTAATAAAACTGATAGTTAATTCTTTATCATGTAGTAAGGAAGAAATCATATGAAATAAGTATAAGCAAAAATATACTAAAATTATTTAATGTATTTTAAAAACCAATAAAATACATTAAATGGATTACATTACATAAACCAAGTTTAAAAAAAAAAGAATTTTGCATAAAATTGCAGTTTTTGTATAATACTAGCAGCAATAAGAATTGGCCATATCCGTTCAGTAGGCTTAGTGTAAATAAGGTTGCCTAATACATATTACGTAGATATTATATTATTGCATTATTTACGTGTTACGCTAAATATTGATGACTCATAAATGTACTGCGGATTTTTGTACAAATTCCTATTTCTATAAATAAAATTAAAAAAATGCATATAGACATTTCTCCTCTCAATATTATAAATTGTGTTTCACTTTCGATATTTTCTATTGTTTTACGTATCACTGCATACTGTGTTTTTTTAAATCATTTAAAATTCCTATAAATGCATAAACGTTCGTTGTCTACTCAACGATAAATAAGAAGTATGATTCATTTAATGATAATTCGAAATAAAAAAATTTGTGTCTTAGAACATTCACGTCTCTTTCCTGAGGACGGTGCCGCCGTACTCGCACCAGGCGGACGTATGGGTCGAATTGTTGAAGCATTTCAATTACATGAAAGTGATCTTCATTCATAGCTCGGACACAGACGGTCGAGCACTTTTGGGAAGGTTTCAGACAGCATCGCAGAATTTGGAGGACGATGTAGAAATCAAAGTTCAGGTACGTTTAACGAAACCATTTTAAAGAAACGATGTTTTTAAAATATAATAAATGATAAAATGTCTGTTCCCGTAACAATTTCTACTCACGGCCTCTTTATTCTATCATTTTATACAACAACCATGTGTATAATCCAGCAAGGAGAATTGTGACGTGAACAGAAATTTAGACATTTACGATAATAACTTCTCTCTGGACACAGGTAGAGTCCGTGATCGAGTTTGAACCTGGTTTAGATAGTTTCACGCAACAATTGATGGACATGAAGAACGCGCAAGCTCGAGTTTGTCTTCTCTACGCCTCGTAAGTGTAGAGATTCAATCTCTCGGAGTTCTACTGCTAATACATTCTGATCTAGAATAAATCATTATCTCGCAACAGAAAGACGGACGCGATCGTGATCTTCCAAGACGCAGCAGCGTTGAACATGACCGGAGCAGGATACGTTTGGATCGTAACGGAGCAAGCTTTAGATGCGCCGAACGCACCGGAAGGTCTTCTCGGGTTGAAATTAATTAACGCGGAGAAAGAGGATTCTCACATCGAGGATAGCCTGTCAGTTCCTTTCTAATCGTACATAGACATCTCACGCATGTATGTTGCGTCTGTAGTTTCGTGTTTTACCATTGAAAGGGCGCACTCTCTACGCACAAGAAGACTTGCGAAGGACGTCTTGTAACGCTTCACAGTGGAAGATAGAAACATCTTTTGAAACTCTGTCTCTAATATAGATATGTACAGATTGCATGCAACGCACCAAGGATATGCACCCTGGTCTCACCAATGCAATTCACCAGTACAATTGATTTCAGATCACCCGGATATGACATATTCTCTTAGCACACCCTCCAGTGGATGATATTCTGTAATCGTACAACGAAACTTTGTGCTTTGAACGTTTAGGATATGTGTAATGTTGTTCTTTCTCTCTCTCTATCTCTTTCCTTTTCTGTGTGAAACGACCTATTTCAACTGATTAACAAACACTTGAAGCTGCAATTTATTCAATTAATAGAATTCTTGTATCTTTTGCAATTTGATTCAGTAAATAATTTTAGTAATTTAGATGAACGTTAAGGTTGAGAAAATTTATTAATGAGTAATCAATATATTTCATTAATTGAGGCGGCAAAAGACATAATGGTATAAGTCGTGTTTCGGTCAAGTTGTGACCTGAAATCTTACTTCATCTACAGATGTTAATACGTTTAAAGAAAATCTGAAACAAGTCAATGATTCAATCTTTAATCTAATCAAACACCATTTGATAATTTATAATGAAAATTATTTAATTATCTTAATTGGAAGAAATTCGAATTAACAATTGAATTTTAACTCTTAATTAAAGAATACCCCAATTCCCGATCGAGATTTGGAGAATCCTTAATTATTAATGCGACAATAAAAAAATTTGCAAGCCTGTAGCAGTAAAATACCGGAGGTTCTCCATTCCGAAAAATGACTTACACCACTATGACTTTTACCACTTGAGTTGTTGCGTGATCTCGTAGACTAATAGGAACGCATTTTTCAGGGTAGTGCTTGTATCCGCTGTACGGGAAATGAACAAGACCAAAGGGATCACAGAGGCGCCGAAGGATTGTGGTGACTCTGGTTCCATATGGGAAACTGGCAAGATCCTATTCGAGTACGATTTATTATCCCCGTATTTTTATCCACTGGCTATACTAATTGCTGTTCTATTTCTGTTTAGATTTATTCGCAAGCAAGAATTGCCGAACGGTAAGACCGGGAAGGTAGCGTTCGACGACAACGGAGACCGAATCTTTGCTGAATACGACATCATCAATATTCAAGAGAACAACCGCGTGTCCGTCGGCCAGTACTTTTATCCACCTGTGAGTAAAATAGTAATATATAAAAATAAAAAATTGCCCTTTTCATCCTCTCTCGACTCCTGCCATCTAATTCTTTTTCCCTCTATCCACAGACCTTTATACCCTATTTTCTACTTTCCATCGCTTCCTTTTCCTTTTCCTATTTCTTCTTTCCATTTCCGATTTCAGACCCTGGATCTCATAAATGCATAAAATCCACAGTCTCCTAATCAGTATTTGATGTAAAAAACAAATGATTCATTGAATCGCAGAATGGGATGAAAATGACACTCAGCGTGAACGAGACGGATATAATGTGGCCCGGCCGACTGAAAATTAAACCTGAGGGTTTCATGATCCCGACGCACTTAAAAGTACTCACGATTGAGGAGAAGCCGTTCGTCTACGTTCGCGAGATCGCACCCGACGAAACTTGCCTGTCGGAAGAGATTCTTTGTCCCCATTTCAACGCGACTGAATATGAGAGTAATTATTAATTACATTCTTCAATGTATGGTTATTTTTTATCTGCGGATTTTATGTATTTTAATATCAAAAATTGAGTCCACATTGCAATATATAAATGATAAAAAGAACTGTTATTTAAAACACGTTCTTTAAACTGGTACCGAAAATATTTTGTTTACTTCAAAAACCATAGTCTAATGATTATGTTTTTTCTATGTCTTCAATGATTCAAACGTTTCTAGATACTAGAACATACTGCTGCAAAGGATACTGCATGGACCTGTTGAGACAGCTGTCGATGACTATTAATTTCACCTACAGCTTGGCTTTGTCACCCGATGGACAATTCGGCAATTACGTGATCAAGGAAACTTCAGGTGAGTAAGCAAAATGAACAAGTTTCAGAACAAGTAAAATTTGAATCTCTTATCGCAGTTGGAGGAAAGAAAGAATGGACGGGACTTATCGGAGAGCTGGTGAATGAAAGAGCAGACATGATCGTCGCGCCTTTAACGATCAATCCCGAGCGCGCTGAGTTCATCGAATTCAGCAAGCCATTCAAGTATCAGGGCATTACCATACTTGAAAAGAAGGTATACATCGCACAATTTTAGTATTCATTAGGTCAGTGTAAAAGTTTGTGTCCGATTTTTAGAATTGTGTCAGATTAAGGGTTGCAGACTTTTTAATTGTCTAAGAAATGTAGTATGAATGTAAGTGACTGTAAGTAAGGAATATAATCGATATAATGCATTTAACAAAGAAATATTCTGTCGTAGCCATCGAGGTCTTCGACTCTGGTGTCGTTCTTACAACCATTCAGTAACACTCTATGGATACTGGTGATGGTGTCGGTGCACGTAGTGGCTCTAGTTCTGTACCTCCTCGACCGGTTTTCGCCCTTCGGGAGGTTCAAGCTAGCAAATACTGACGGTACCGAAGAGGACGCCCTGAACCTTTCCAGCGCCGTTTGGTTCGCCTGGGGAGTTCTACTCAACAGCGGGATTGGAGAAGGTTCGACATTAATGCATGCTACATATTTATAAAAAGCTCCGTAACATTCTTTTGCCAATCGAGGCATAATTAAATCGATAACCCGTGGGCGGAAAAAGAGCCGCTTAAAAATACTTCCGCATCTCCGATTACTGACTTTATGATTTTTAATTATATTCTTGATAAATAGGTACTCCACGGAGTTTTTCTGCTCGGGTGTTAGGCATGGTGTGGGCAGGATTCGCGATGATCATCGTCGCTTCGTACACTGCCAACTTGGCCGCGTTCCTCGTACTGGAACGGCCCAAGACCAAACTCACTGGCATCAACGATGCTCGTGTAAGAATAAATCATTATTTAGGACTCGAGTTACCACATTTTTTTTGTCAAAAGAGGGCGAAACGGCATTTAATACAAAAAAGGGTCAAAACGAGGACGTACTTCTATTAGGTTTTAACTACGCATTTCAATAGCAAACAACATAAATCTTATTATTTTCTGATAAAAGTAAATAAATTAGGACATAGTTTTTTGTCAACTATTATTAATTAAAAATCCCGTTACGCGCATCTGTAGCTGAGGAATACCATGGAGAACCTTACTTGCGCCACGGTGAAAGGTTCCGCCGTGGACATGTACTTCCGTCGACAAGTTGAATTGTCCAATATGTATCGCACAATGGAAGCTAATAATTACGACACTGCCGAGGAAGCGATTAGAGATATTAAAATTGGGTAAGAAAATCTTCACGTTCCGGAATTTCGCAACGGAGATCGATAATCCTAAAGACGATCTTGTGTTTGTATAGGAAGCTTATGGCTTTCATCTGGGACAGTTCTCGCTTGGAGTTCGAAGCTGCTCAAGATTGTGAATTAGTAACCGCGGGAGAATTGTTCGGCCGGTCCGGTTACGGTATCGGCTTGCAGAAAGGCTCGTTGTGGGCGGATGCTGTGACTCTCGCTATCTTAGACTTTCATGAAAGTAAGAATTTAATTGACAACTATACCAGTACACATATGCTCCAAATATTATTGGAAGTCATTGTAGTTTCTCTATGATCGCGAAATATGTGTTCGCTGTTTAGGCGGTTTCATGGAGAACCTCGACAAACACTGGATTTTTCAAGACAGCGTGGAGCAATGTGAGCAATCAGAAAAAGCTCCAAACACTCTGGGCTTGAAAAACATGGCTGGGGTGTTTATAGTTGTTGGAGTAGGAATCATAGGTGGTATCGGATTAATCATCATCGAGGTGGCGTATAAGAAACATCAAATTCGCAAACAGAAGAAAATGGAACTGGCTAGACACGCGGCCGACAAGTGGAGAGGCGCAATCGAGGTAAAAGAAAAATTAATAAAACCTGGATGGACTACGTTCGAAACTAGATTTCTTTCTTTTTGTTCGATGTCTTTCGTTGTCCATTCCTCAGAGTTCTATGTTTATCAGTAAAACGCAAGCAGCCAAGAGGAAGTAAGGGAGGAGCGCAGGGAATTCGGACAAAACTCGTAACGATGAAAAGAAAAAGACATGTCAAGACAAATATACACACGAACGCATATTATAGAATCAAAGCACAAAAATTTATACGCTTTGCAAGCTTTGAGTTGATTTAGCTTAAGCAATACAGTAGAATCCTGATTATCGGAACACCCATTTATTAAACCTGCGTTTACACTAGGAATTTTCAACGGTCAACATAATCACGATCAAATCCCATTGATAAACCTAATTGCTATCCTAATACTAAGAAGCTGAATGTTTTAATACATCGCTTGAACAATTTTTAGGAAAAAAAAAACAAGACCATATGAGACTAATACAATAGGAGGTAATATGAAATATTGTTGTTAGAGGTATATACAATCATGTTGAATGAATATGAAGGTCCACCAAGATCTTATAAATAGGAGGCCTCGATTTGTATTATTTTATCTATTTCGTATTTGTATTTAAAACATATACAGTTCCACGCGACAAGAAGTATCGTTCTATTATCTAAAATTTCAATCATCCGTCTGTCTCCCGATAATCGAAGTTCTACTGTATTTGATTTCATGCTTTTGACAATAACAGTGTAAGATACTACAATTTTTTTACATGTTTTACACTACGATCGCTTCTTACACACAAGGTTGGCTTTTTTATACATCGGTAATGATACGCTTGATATACCATTGAACCCTTTCCCTAACGCAACGGCGTGTGTAAAGAAACAATTGAACCTTTAGTTTCGAACGCGTTGCTGCGAAAAGGTTGAGCTATCTATATCACTAGAAACGCTAAATACTACAGTTATATTTTCAATACTATTTAATATACATATTACTACGATATGAGTCCAATACCTATGGTTTAAAGCACTCTTTAATAAACATGCATATCATTATGAATAGACGGCGGATTTTTATGCAAAATAAAATATTTGTATATGTAAAACGTTTGTGCTGTAAACCATGTAGTCTTAAATAGGATAGTCTACTGCAATCTCCTTTGAAAATATACGATGAACTACTGCTCAGTCTAATCTCTTTCAATGTTTGAAATACAGAAACGGAAGACCCTGCGGGCTTCGATAGCCGCTCAACGAAGAATTCAAAGTAATGGCCTGAACGATCCTACGACCGTCAGTTTGGCGGTCGACACAGTAGCCAGGTCGAACGTAGCACCACGCAGCCCTGGCCGAGCCTGGCCAGGTGATAGCGACATTCGTCAACGACCCATTCCCCGATCAGATGATATTCGACTGTCGCCGGCTGCCTACACGGCGGACGTCTCTCACCTCATAGTCTGACGAAACTTATCGATTACTCGTACCGTGGGACGAATATAAGAACGTTATATAATGTACGTGGAAACATGTTTGTTAGGCACGTGATATAGTGGCGAGCACCTGAATAAAATATGATAACTCTTGATGGAAAAATTTTCCACTTTTCAATATAATTCCTTAATTATACGTGTGCTCATCACTGTGTACGTGCAATTGTGTTCAAAGTAATGAGTGTTTGTTTTTTGCAATAAAAATCGTTGCTTTAAAGGTTTTAATGAAACGTTGATTCATTTCTAAATATCTCCTTCATTTAATATACAATTTAGGATAGAGACTGTACGTATTAACTTGTTAAATACCGCAGTTATAAAAAGAATGCATAGAACCTTCTTTGTAGAGGACGTCAGTACCTACGACTTTTATATACAAATTTCTTCGCTAGCATCAATACTTAATTAATAAATAAAATTGTTTATTGCAAAAACTTTTTCTTCGTCCTAGCGAAAAATGTTTAAGACAAAAGTTGTACATAGCATCGGTTGCTATATGTATGTACAAAAAAGGTTCTGTGCAATTTCCTTTTAATTCCACTGGAAAGAACGATTACCGATTGTGTTTTAAACATCCATTGGACCCTATTCGCTGTCCCAACGATTACACGAGTCACTGGCGCTGCCACTCTTTAATAGTATGTTTTCGGTGGTTATAGAGTTCCAGATTTGTCTACAAGATTGCGGGTACGAGGGTTCCATTTAATTAATGAGTTTCCTCTCTATATCCATTGTCCTACGCCATGTCCACGGTCTTAACACATGAGAACGAATTGTGTCAAGTTTCTCACCGCTGTCATTTGAGACACTTTCGTTGTCCAGCAAATCGGATTTGTTTTCTAGGTGTCTTTTAAGCGGCTTAATTAACAGTTAGAAGGTATGGCGGATACGACAGTGGATGCGACACGCCGTTTAAACGTTAAGAAACAGACGCTCGATGACGCTTATGCAGCGCCTGCGAATTTCCTCGAAATTGACGTGATTAATCCAATCACACACGGCGTCGGCAAGAAACGGTATACCGATTATGAAGTCCGCATGAGGGTGAGTTAACAGCCACGTTTTATTTTACGTACGTTTCCTGTTTGCTACCAAACATTAACATCCACTTTTCCACACCGAATACCAGACTTCCTTTTGCCGCTAAAGTTCCAGTCTGTTTTATAAACATTCTTCGCTTATGCTTACGATTAATAAATAAAATTGTTTATTGCAAAAACTTTTTCTTCGTCCAAGCGAAAAATGTTTAAGACAAAAGTTGTACATAGCATCGGTTGCTATATGTATGTACAAAAAAGGTTCTGTGCAATTTCCTTTTAATTCCACTGGAAAGAACGATTACCGATTGTTTTAAACATCCATTGGACCCTATTCGCTGTCCCAACGATTACACGAGTCACTGGCGCTGCCACTCTTTAATAGTATGTTTTCGGTGGTTATAGAGTTCCAGATTTGTCTACAAGATTGCGGGTACGAGGGTTCCATTTAATTAATGAGTTTCCTCTCTATATCCATTGTCCTACGCCATGTCCACGGTCTTAACACATGAGAACGAATTGTGTCAAGTTTCTCACCGCTGTCATTTGAGACACTTTCGTTGTCCAGCAAATCGGATTTGTTTTCTAGGTGTCTTTTAAGCGGCTTAATTAACAGTTAGAAGGTATGGCGGATACGACAGTGGATGCGACACGCCGTTTAAACGTTAAGAAACAGACGCTCGATGACGCTTATGCAGCGCCTGCGAATTTCCTCGAAATTGACGTGATTAATCCAATCACACACGGCGTCGGCAAGAAACGGTATACCGATTATGAAGTCCGCATGAGGGTGAGTTAACAGCCACGTTTTATTTTACGTACGTTTCCTGTTTGCTACCAAACATTAACATCCACTTTTCCACACCGAATACCAGACTTCCTTTTGCCGCTAAAGTTCCAGTCTGTTTTATAAACATTCTTCGCTTATGCTTACGAAATTCATTAAACAATTCGCACTAGATCGCGAATTTGATAAATGTTTATATAATACATCATTTTTTTCGAATGAAAGTTCAGCATTGCAGTCACTACTTATGTACAATCAGGACATAAGTATAGTATTGTTAACTATAAATTTAACAACTTACGAAAGCTCACGTACGTATTTATTTTATTAATATGTTCGTCATTTATCGGTAACACTTTTTTTTAGTTTGAGAAAAGTTATAGCTCTGATAGTAGTAGCAGTAATTTATTAATGGACATTGACCAAATGTATCATGGGCTGTGTCTGCTATCTCACATTCATGATAAAAATGAGCAGATACAAAAGTATGTTACTGAATCTGTTCGTATGTCTTTTGAACTGATAAGTGTGAATTATCCCTCATGGTTAAAATTAGGAGTATCTAAAAAATTGTAATAATGAAAGATATATTATACTTTTGATTATAATGTTACAGACAAATCTCCCAGTTTTCAAAGTGAAAGACTCCACAGTTAGGAGGAGATACAGTGATTTTGAATGGCTAAGAACTGAACTAGAAAGAGATAGCAAGGTCAGTTGATAATTTTTATAAAAAGATTAAGAATTAACTGAATACTTAAAACAAGTAGATTTGATTATTTCAATTCATTTACTTTAATTTACAGATTGTAGTGCCTCCCCTACCAGGGAAAGCTTGGAAGCGTCAGATGCCTTTTCGAGGGGATGATGGTATTTTTGAAGAAGATTTTATAGAGGATCGAAGGAAAGGATTAGAAGCTTTTGTTAATAAGTGAGTATTTAAACACATAAATGTTTGCTATTCATAACATTGTATCTTGGCGAACCTATATAATATAATCATATTTCATGGATGACACGATTGTAACTAATATTCTGATGCAACAACATTTCATATTATCTCCTATTGTGTTAGGTTGATAGGGTCAAAGCAATATCAAAATCAACCCCAAAATGCCCCTCTTTAAACCCGACAACTTTAAGTTAAAACATTTTGTCATTACACTAAGTTTCAATGATATTCAAGGTGGACAGAGTTATCACCCCACCTTATATATAACTATATTCTAAATTAAGAGAAAAAATATTTCTAATATTTCAGAATAGCAGGACATCCATTAGCTCAAAATGAACGATGTTTACATATGTTTCTGCAAGAACCTGTAATAGACAAGAACTACGTACCTGGAAAAATACGTAATACATAAGTTATAATACAATAAGACTAATTGCAAGTATATTTTCCTCCCCACCTTTGATATGTAAAGTTACATTTGATTACTTTTGAAACGTTAAGTCGCGGAATTTATCGTGATCCTTCTGCATTGTTGCAATATTTCAATGAACTTTTCACACTGTGATGTTAAATTAGAAATTGTTTCTCGATGATCTATGTGTTTCGAAAAGATACGCGCTAAAAATATTCAGAAGGATCTCATCTTCAGTTATCATTATCAATCACGTAAGAGAGGATATTATAAAGGTCTTTTCTTTTCATTACTTTTTTTCAGAATTGTTATAGTTACATTCTCTTTTCACGACAGATTTATAAATTGATATTTATCACTTTCAGAAATTGCAGAATAATGTTGTACACAACAATTCAATTGATACATAAATATATGAAATTTTTGAACTTGAACATACAGCTAAACTCAGCAATTACTCATTTACAAGTTATTCAATAGAAAACGTAATAAAAAATGTTGCCTCGTGTTTTTTAATTAGCGTAGTACTGTTTTTTTGCGTGTTATCATTGCCGTAGAAGATGTATATTGTTTCCTATTGGATGACTTACAAACATATCGATAAAATCAACTGATTTAAAAATTAAACATATTCATAATTTAATATTATTTGCATAAAGACAATACATTAAATATTTTTATTTTCTAAACCTCTATCTCTGTTCATTTATGATATAAATTATACACATATATAAGCGCAAGCGTTTTGTATTTCTTTATTCTGCACCTGCTATCATAAAGTCAAGATATATGTATCATTGTATGGAAGTTAAAAGTAAAATTAACGATTTATACATCTCCTTTCTTATAACATTTAAACTCACATTAGAGGCAACACCGTTTAAATATTTATAATTATCAAAGGGACTATATACAGGGATTAAACTATTTTACAGTTTTCTCATTTAAGTTATAGTTGTATTTGCAGAATTTTCATCAAATACGTTTAGATTAATCTATTGTACATACATTTACGTGTAACAATTTACACGTAAGATTTGCATACAGATGGAAATATTGTACATCAATATAAGTAATTAGAATTAAATTAAGACTGTAATTTAAAGCTTTGATGTCTAAATGGATAAAATCTCAATGCATGTTTCACTTTAGTAAAAAAAAAACCACGCGGAATTTATTAAGGCGAACAACGTCGTTAGATGTAAGTATATTATTTTATAAAATAAAAAACAAAAAGAATTATAATGTCGTGAACTTATTTTCAACTTACTTCAACTGTACTCATTTAATACATACTTGTGTAGTAATTATACTTATTATTTTAAAAAATAAATTAATATAATTCGGCTTAACAAGATTGAAATTAGATTTAAAAGAATACTGCATCAACAGGCCGATTTCATGTATTCAGGCTTGAACTACTTATAAGTATACATCTTGCTTTGTTCTAATGAATTTCTTGTTTTTGAAGTACGTCTCTATATATTTGCTCACACACTCCTGTTCTGAAATAAGAAAATAAAGTGTATTGTAAATAAAAGAATTTTTGTTTGACATTCCAATCAGTTTTATAGTTAATATACTAACCAGGAAATGTGTCTTTAATAATAAGCATGTCAGCTATATGCTTTGCTACTATTTTGAACAGTTGCTTATCTTTAATTCTTCGCTTTTTGTAGAACGGCATCAAGTAATGTACGATCCATGGCGCAATTCTTTCTTTGCATGCTGTTAAATGTTCTTCTATGCAAATTGGCGAGTCTGGCATCATTTCCTCGTCATCAGTCTCGCCGAACAACTCAAGGAACTTTTCTCGAACTCTTTCGTGCCTTCTATAATCCGTCAAAGACAGTTCCGTCATTTTTGCTTTTAACTTCGCTATTTGATACACGCGTTCAACGAACCAAATACTATTTGATCTACGCCTCTGCCGTTCTGCCATTTCGCTGACAGGCAACGATTTATTAGCTTCCCTGTTTTTCATTTCTTTATAGTAACTGAAGCTGTACCTTCCTGCACTCGGGTTCGACATGTTTGCGTTATTCAACTTGACAGAATTTACCTTTGTATTGCTATTATTTCCAGGAACGTTGCAGATGTCGTTTGGATTTTGTGGAAGAAGAGAATTTATCTCTTTGTCCACAGTAGCTTTGGTGACACCAGAGTGTTTCTCGATTAACGTCATGAGATCGCTGCTATCGTCACTCTCGCAAAACATATCCTCCATATGTTGCAAAAGTGAATCTTGCGAATTCTCATCATCATTTTGAACAATAGATTGATTTGCGATTTGCATATTAGAATTATCTTGCGTGTTGCCATCTTCTTTCATTGCGTTTTCGTCGTCGACCAACATTTTATTATCTTTTTCCTCGTCCGATTCATTCTTGAATTTATTAATTTCTGTATCATTGATATTAGTTGAATTGATGGTCGGCGAAGCAGTATCATTGCGAACAGTTAACTGAGAAAACATAGTGTAATCCTCATTTTCATTGTTTAGCTCATTTTCTTCTTTCTGCTCCGGTGTCTCCTTCGTGAAGAACGATTCGTCAAAATTAGACGTGGTAGACACACTGTGAACGTTATCTGCTTTTTCTAACTCGGCCCATGAATTAACTGTCTGAACCGCAACGTCTACCTTACGCGGCGGCGTTTCTAAAAATATTACCAAGTTCTTATGGGCTTTTTTTACTAACGTGTGCGACTTTATATCTGAAATCTATAAGTGTTTCAATTTCAATCATCAGTCGCTTTATTTAGATGCAATTGTAATGATACAAACGGACTTACTAATTTCAACATATTCTGCCTATACAGTGTAGTTTCTAAGGACGATCGAACTGCAAGTAGTTCCATGTGATTGGCACAGCTTTTTAACTCATCCCATGGAATCTCTTCATTTTGTTCTTTATAGCAAAGAATGTAATTGGTAAGTAAACATTTGTGAAGGTAAGAGAAATACACAGCACGAACCTATAAAGCAAATTTGAAAAATAAATTAAATGTATACATGATTTACCATTAGACTGCGGAGTTTTATGCAAATTGCTTATTGTATCAGTTTAAAAAATGTGTCTCAAATAGAAATTTCTTTTATCTTTTAAATATTGCAATCTTTACTTTGCGTTTGGTATTCTGTATATTTTTATTACTCGCAGTGTTTATATTTTTTTTACATTTAACTTCCTCATACATACATATACACCTAATTTAATTCTAAAATTTATGAATGAGATTTTAATGATGCTGACGACAAGTGTAAGTGGCATGCAAAGAAATTTACCGTTGTAGTTAGCCGAAGGAACTCGTCATTCGGATCGGTGGGAATATGAAATTTATTTGTTGAGAGCGACGGTATCGAGATTGATAGAAGATTATTAATATCCTCGAGACTTGTGTTATCGTCGTCGGCATCTCCCATGTCAAGTTCCTTTTGTTCTCGCTTCAAAGGGAACGGCATGGACTCGTCCATTCGTTCCATCATCATTTCATTTAACAAACTGCCACTTAAGTTTCGTAAACAACTATTTCAAATTTGTCGCGATAAACACAGTAAATATTCACCGCGCGACGATATCATGTTTGACATGTCTTTTTGAATCACACATGCATTTAGTTTCTGTGACATGAATCTATAAATTAAGCATTATATTAACATTATATGCAATTCCGTAAACACGTTTCTTCTATCAAATACAGTTTGTTATTACTTTTTACGATGTAAACGATGTAAACACATAAAATGATTAGCTAGTAGTTAGTAACTAACTTCATGCTCTTATGGTATAAATAAGTCAATGGATTCCGGACCGATTTCGCGCGCACACAAAGAAAATACGTAATTTTAAAGGGGCTAACTTCAGATTCATATAATTATGTACAGGGTGTTTCAAGATTATAGTGATTATACTGCAGTGTTCTCTGCAAAGATATAATTTTTATACACCCTGTATATACATAGTGGCCAAACGTGTATTTGCACTTATGTGTTTTTGTATGAAACAATTTTACAATATCTGCGTAGTAGGGACATGGATAGTTGGATAGCAATTTTAACATGTATAAGCAACCGGAGGGCTGATTATTAGGATATGGGATTTAATAATTTTTATATATCGATTGTAAATATACATTACAAATTTGATAAATAATTATTGCTCCCAAATGAATGCTTACGTATTCTTAATTTTGGGCACAATTATTTTATAACACAATGTCATTTAGATGTGTGGCAGCAAAACAAAGAAATGTACAAGAGCGTTTGTAAGCGTTCTTTATTTTATATTAGAAAATGTTTAGAATATCAGATAAATTAAATCAGATTGTACACTACCATACAATGCTAATACCTGTATATCATTGTATAGTTAAAATATCATCTTACATTTGTTCACGTTTATTCTAAAAGTGTCTTTGATTAAAAAATGCTTAGCTGTGTCTCTTTAAAAGTAATAAGGTACAAGTGTGTTTCATACAATAGCTTTAAGTGCAAGCAGTTTTCCTATGAAGTACGTAGCACTGAAGGAAGGCAAATTGTTACACGCTACAATTAAGCGCAACAGCTAGGAAGTCTTCAAATGCAATAGTTATTTCTCCTGCCCGATTAGAATCCCTTTCTCGAAAAGCATCTATAATACAAAATGAAAAGTGAATTTTTATCGTTATCGATATTCATATATTTGCTTACCTGTAAATCTTTGAATCTGAACACACAACACAATAAATTGATCGACTGTAATGCAAGAATGACCAGTAGGATCACTCTTTTTTATAAGAAATGAGACGAAATCTGGACTTAGCCGATATCCCATTTGTGTTAACGCTGCATTCAATTCAGTCTCTTGAATACTTCCAGAATTATCATGATCAAAGCCACGAAAGACACCGAGCCAAGCATTAATGTAATTGTACAAAGCTTGAAATTCGTATAAGTCTATTGTGCCATTCTTTTCTTTGTCAAACATTCCTATAAGAAAGAGTATCATTATAATTATGATTATTGAATTGTTGAGTTCATTGAGAAAGCAAACGATTATGTACCTATCATAAGTCTGCAAGCAGTATCTGAGAATGTGCCACCCTGTCCATTTGCCAATGCAGCTTTTAATTCTATAGCTGAAATTCTTCCACTACCGTCTCTATCAACAGCAGCGAACCATTGCTGTACCTCTGGGTTTACTTGTACATCAGGACCAGTAGTCCCATACATTGCATTCTGTATTAATAGCATTCAATTTATAATAATAAAGTATACATAAATTGGGAACAGATGAAACTATAATATTTCAAAGATTACAAAAGTAATGATAGGGATGCATATAATACACTCTTAAGAAACTATGTACGATAGAGAAAGTTCGATGTAAATTATATTAAAACATTACCGGGTAGGCCATGATTATAGTTTCTGTCACTTGTCGAAGTTAATTGTAACGTGTATTCAATTGCTGCATCACTAAACTATTAGTATGTGTTGTATGTACGTGCACGTAACACCATTACATCATGCCAGTAGACGTCTCGTCAACAGTTTGTCATTTTATTCATTTTTTAAAAGAGAACTATTGTCTACTGTTATGAATTTATAAGAATCGAAAGTACTTTATTTGCGAAATAGTAAATAAGTTGTTGACAAATAAGTGCTTTTATGCTTGACGTGTAGATTTTTGGAGCATGCGCATTGGAATTACCAACACTGCCCTTACCGCTTTTGTTTTGTTTAGAGTTCAAGAAGATCGTATACTGTCGTGGAGCTTCGGATCGGATCAACTTCGACTAATAGAGAGAGAAATTCAAGCGGCGCGGCAAACAACAGATTTTCGATTCCCATACCATATTTTCTACTTCTCGGTTTGCTATGAAAAAGTTATGAAAAAAATATTAAAGAATGTTATGTTCTTTACAAGCAAAATTCTTTATTTACAACAGTGTACAAGTTAGAGGATATCAGAAGCGTTTAAGACTTCCGACTCTTTGTCTTCTTCCATAGGATGCAATTTACTCGGTGAGACCGGAGAGTTCAATTTCGTCTGCTCAGGCGTCAATCGCACTGTTGTACCATGCCGGCTATAATCTTCGATTTCACCAATTGGTCGTTCGAACTCCTCTTCCACAACAGTACTCCTGCATTTATTCTATATATTTCAAAATAAAATACATTTCATTATGAATTGCCCTCTTCATTCGAGTATTCGTTAATTTTTACTTACCTGAACGAGTTTAAAGAATTCTTTACGAAATTCCTTGCTGCACGAAAAATACATGAAAATGTGAACGGCAAAATTACAAAGCTCGACGACGACAGCGAAGGCTCGAAACAGGAGGTAACCCATATCAGTAGTTTCCTGATTATTGTGGTATACGAATTGTATCAATATCGATGGAATCATCGTCACTATAAAACATATCGTCATCATTGACATCAAAGTAGCTAAGTGTTGTTCTTCCCTAAAAGATAAAACAATTTTTTATCCGAATATCCGGATATACAGGATGATCGATTTTTATTATCTTACCTATATCCTTTATTGCGAGTTAATAGAGACGTCTCAGGGATATTCGCGGTGCGAAACTTTTCTGAGACCGACTGAAATTCTCTCTTCTTAGCGTTTAGCTGCAAAAATCTCTTCACTACAAAACTGTTTAGTAAAAGAAGAATCATACTCGGGCAAAGTCGCAGCGCGATCTCCATGATCCAAATGTACGCGTTCCATAACGCGCCTTGTGTCACGGAAATATTCTCGCGCAAGATAAAAAGAGTTCCGGCATCTCCCCATTGCTCATACACCATTCTCATACTGGTCAACGGTGCACTTACCTATAAAATTAAAGTTTCTTCGTATAGACCAATTCACGGACACGCGTGTCGTTTTTTATACCGCGAATCCGACAATAAAGGAGCACAGGGTGAAAGAGCGAACGTTCTTGCGTGCGTTTCTGTTGCGGATACGGGCCGGGAAAAAGATAAAAGTATATCGATCGAGGATCAAGCAACTCATAATTAAAACGGCGGCTATGGCGAACGTGTTTACAGCGACCAGCTCTAAATGAGCATGATAAAAGACGGACGGGTAGTTGTTCCGCATCCCAAATCCTAATCTAATAACTGAAACAACACATTTGTTTTAGTTGAATCAATTTGAATTGATATTTTTTTTTATACGTACATACGGGTATCCAAGCGACGAGAACTCCGACGTGCGCTAATGTTAATCCTCGCAAATATAAATATGCGATTCCCCGAAACGTTGGAGTGGATAACACCAAAAGTATTAGAATATTACCAAAAATACCACTGATCACTATCGTGGGAATTATTATTCTATATATAATCCGTATTAAAGACGCGATCTGAACATCTCTGTTCCCATTAATTATATCGGTCCAAGTAGAATTTTCACTTTCACAGCATAGAAACGTTCTAAAAACGAAACAAATTCGAATCCTTAATATAGATATTTTAATACCTCATCGATATTAGAAATTTATTTTTAAAACGTACCCTTTGAGTATCCCCGATAACATAGTGAAAATTAGATAAAAATTATTTTATGTTATTATTCGGAGAAATACAATTTAAAAATCACATTGAATTGAAAGCAGAGCAAATGTCTGTTTTTCTATTTTATTTCTTGCACTAGTGATTACTTGAAACTGATCGAGCGGACCATGGGACGGACGCACACAATAAATTCTGCGAGAGTGAACTGACCACCGCGTTTCCCATAAAAAGTCAATAACGCGCATGCTCTTGTTAAAGGTTGATTTATTGCTGTACCCGATGTATATTTACTACTCATCGTAATTATATTTCAATCCTCCTTTTCGTAGAGTTAATTCGATTCGAGGAAGCAGTGAAAGCATCTCCCTTCCTCTTCGTATAAAAAACTTAATTATCATCCTTTTAAACTAAATTCCATTTACTTTAATATATATATTATATAATTTAATAGATCATGTTTAGATCATGATTAATGATAAATTTATGTTTGCTGAAAGAATATTCTTGGACAGGAAACATTTAATCGTGAACTTGGTATTTTTCTCGATAGTCAAAAGCGTACCTGAAAAAATTAGCGAATTATTCGAAGCAGAAGATGTGATTAAAGACGTCCCTTACACTCGATTGAGTACCCACGTCCACTCCAGTGATCAACGAAAATGTAAAGCAACTAAGCAGACTTGATAGAGTGCGGAACGTTGATTAGAGTATTTATCATACAAGATAAATATTAAATGCATTATTTCGCATACTATCTACGTGTCCTCCGACTTTTAACACAGATAAAAATGTATTCTTTATTAAGATATATGTATGAGTACAAATCAAATGTTGAAGAATTAATTAAGGGGCGCGGTAGCGGCCCGAAGGCAAGTTTGAGTCAAGTGGCAGCATGCCTGTTGGGCATCGCGTACCCTTATGTAGGTAGACACATTATTTGTACATATTCAGTCCTTTCGATTCTGCTTCTTATTTTCTTCTTCACGTACTTGGTACCAAGGATACAGATGAATGATTGAATTATTAATTCTATTGAACATCAATTTGCAACTAACGTTTGATTTTTCATCCGTTTCTATTATGTTCATCCGGGGGTGATACACTTCCGCTACCCCTACTACCAGTCTAATTTAATGTCATGTCTGGATCGTGAACTGCGAAACCGTCGCCAATCCGACAGAGATGCAAAACAAATGGATTCGATGTACTATATTTATTAAACTCTATAGAAGTCGTTGATAATTTCGTTGATTAGGGAGCAAATTACTTTAACTTCAGTTTAAATTAAAGCTTGATCTCTCTGTTTTAATTCAGTTTCTCTAACACAATGTTTGTACACAATTATATATTATTATGACAATTATTAACTAATATTTTGCAATTTTATTAACTTCCTTATAAAGGAAATTCTATCTGCCTTTATGGATTTATAAGAATAGAAAGTAGTTTTTTATTATAAAAAATAGTTGATAAATTTTATTCATGTTGGCGTGTTAGAGTGTGGGCGCCCTCTCGCACATTGTTTTCGTATACTGATCGTCAACTGATCGTATTCAATCGTGAGGACAGGAGTGTTCGTCTTCAGTGTTAGCTTTCGATTGCTTTTTTGACAGTAGTCTAGGAAAAGAAGGAACAAGTGGTGAATGTTTATTCGTTCTTAATAGTAAACAGCTAACCACTTGGCTTCATCATGGACGATTTACAGAATTATAAACTGCAGCTTCAACAGGTAAACTTTTTGTTTTGGAGTTAACCTAGAACCGAATGTTAGACTGACGAGTCCATTTTTGGCGATTACTTTCTTTGTTTACTATATCGAATGTTTTTTATATTTAATTGGTTCAGGTGGAAGCGGCACTCACCACGGATCCAACTAACGAAGAACTCCTGAAATTGAAAATTGATCTCGAGGAAGTAATAGAGCTGACACATGATTTAATTAAATCACAACAACAGGAAAAAAGGCAAGCCAATGGCATGGATGCTAAAGATCCTATTTTACTTGCAGTTCTCGCCAATAAGTGGAAGGTTGGTGATCAGTGCATGGCACCCTGGAGCGAGGATGGGAAGTAAGTATTCAATTTAGTTTCTATCGCACGTTACTATTTCCAACGATTATGTTTCCCGTTCCGTCAATGATCATTTGTCCCGTCACATTTTTTCAGGTACTATGAGGCAACCATAGATGCTATAACAGAGGATGGTGTTGTTAATGTAACGTTTAATGAATACAAAAACACAGATGTCACAATGCTTAGTCAATTGAAATCAGTTGCTAAAAGGCCAGCATCGGACTGGGCAGATCAAAAGTCAAAGTGAGTCAATCAATATTTAAAGTTTATCTATAATAATACTGATAGTTACATGCTTATTAACATGCTTTCCCCTGCAAAATGAGCACGTATCAGTTTTCTTGAGGTATATTACGGGTTAAATTTGATAAGATAATGATTACTAATTGTTCATTTTTCTCCTTATTCCTTTATTCCCAATTGGCCACGATATTCGCTCTACTGTTCGGTGCCGCGATCTGAAATTCCATTATTGTTCATTTGTCTCTCGATGTTGCACTACTTCGCCGGAGTCCAGGAAAAGGTAACAAGAAATAATCGATTTTTGTTGCAATATTGTTTCTATTCTCTTCGAATCCTATCGAATATAATTTTTACATAATATACGCTGTGTGCCACGCAGCTGGAACAGGTGGCTCCTAAACGATTGGGCATAATAGAAACTGTTATAGATCAAACGGTATTAGACATGAGTTAGTAATAAGTTTATGCACTTTTATGCATTGGTGCATTAGTCCATTATCTTGGTTTGTCGTCAAGTGTTCTAGATATTATGCACTGTTCGATACCATTCAATTTATAACAGTTTCTCGTTTAGGGGGTATAGTCTGTTTCAGTTACGTGGAACACTTTGTAATGTTTTTAGGATAAAAATTTTCTCTTATTAATCAAATCATCATACAAATTTTAGTTCTAATTTATATCAATTTAAATTATTGCCTCTAGGTGAAACAAGAGATTAGGAAAGAATTGCTTTTATACAATTAATTCTACAACTAATATTGATCAACTTTGTTACAGCATAAAGCGCATTATTTATGTTTTTTAATAACTTTTATCTGGGGACACGAACTGGTAGTCTGATTTCTGATCGTCCCATTTTCACGAATGACAGATTATTAATAATTAATTTACAGAAAAATGCAAGCAGCCGCTGTAGCAGGATCAGACCCCAATAAACAACGAGAATACCTAAAGAAAAAGAAACAGCGGAAACTTCAGCGATTTAAAGAGCTCGAAGAAGAACGAGAGATGGAAAAAAATAAATGGCTCGCATTTACGAACAAGGTATCGTTTCAAACTGTATTAATAATTCGAGAAATCTTTAGAAACCATTCCCTTCATTATTAACATTATATTTGTTTGATGCAGTCTTCGAAAAAAGGTGTGATAAAGAAGAGCATATTTGCGACGCCGGAAAATGTGAACGGCCGTGTCGGAATTGGCACGTGCGGTGTTAGCGGTCGGGAAATGACGAAATTCAGTAACGGCGAGAAGTGGAGAAGGGGCGCATGAGTCCTATTGTAAATACATAAAATTCAATACTTCGTGGGATAGAACAATATTGTTATTATTATAATGAGTTTCAGTTCCATCGGGAATTGAATGAAAAATGTATGTTTTGTGTTTGGTGAGAATGCCTCAGGGTACGTGAGTAATGGGTGTGTGGTCAGTAGTGGTCCGTTTATGAATATATGATGACGATGTGAAGTAAATCCGGATTTCATTTGGATTTTCTACCTTCGTGAGATGAACGTCTGCTCCGAATGAATGTAGTTCTAGATTAACATATTTACGTGGGTATGATTTGTTTATATTATCTGTAACAGATATGAATAAATGTATATTTTAAAAGTCAGATTGTATTTTATTCTATTGTATTATATTATGTATTGTACTTTGGTCAAACAAGAATTTCTCATTTTTTTCTTTTCTGCCATAAAACTTCATTATTATTGTCTTATTGAATTTTTATTTGAAGAGAGACTTACGTTTGTTTATTCGAGCTGGGCGATGACGCATTATACCGATGAAATATTATACCACCTACACTAATATAGCTAACACCGTTAGTTAGCAGCAGAGCGAAAATGGTCGTACTATCGTGCATCAACACGTCACCAGCAGGTGATATGTTCGGGGCGATAAGACTGATATAAAAGTTTGATAAATTGCAAATAAAAATGGATTTACCAAAATATTACATTGTCATAGAGGCCTACGAAAATTATCACTTTATTTGATTCATTGAAACAGTGCTCTAACCTGCGTCAAACATTACCAATAAATGTTGTGTATTTATCTTATTTTTGTAAAAATATACCGACACGTATTTGATATAAATCACGTTGCTTGTCGAAGTTTTTTTTAAACACATCGATAAACATGCATTATTCGCAACTAATATGGAGATGAGTCTCTGTTTAACATATGTATTTTGTGTACTTATTTATCATTTTCACCAATTGAGAATTGATTGAAGAACAAGACTGACTTAATAATCAATTCTTGTACAAAATATTACATTTGTATCAAAGAAAGCATGGAGTCTAATGAAAGGATTCAGTTTTCGAATGGGGATGCTGCGAACAGTAGGAATATAGATTGGTCTAAGTATGGGTTGCATAATAATGCTGGAACCCAGAGGAATAATGAAACAAGAAATAACAGTAGACAGTATGAAGAGTTTGGACCTGACATGTATCAAACTGGAGCAAATGAGTTATTTGCTCAAGAATATGTAAGCAGTGAAGATAATGATATTTGCATGTTAAACTCTCAATATTTATGATTCTTACAATTGTTGTTTCAGAGCGCCGATCCCTGGTGGAAATCAAACTTTTTCATTTCCCAGCCAGTATTATTTGGGACATGGGACGGAGTTTTCACATCTTGTCTCATCAACATTTTTGGAGTTATTGTATTTTTGAGATCGGGATGGATAGTAGGCCAAGCAGGAATTCTCAATGCTGTATTAATAATTTTGTGTACAGGTAATTATTATCCGTGTCAACGTTGGTAAGACTTTGCAAACATAAAGACATTTATTGCTTTCTTATTATTTCAGTATGCATCGCGTTAGTGACTGTGTTGTCTGCTGTGGGAATATGTGAGAGATGTCGCGTGGAGAGTGGCGGAGTTTATTTTCTGTTGTCACATGTATTAGGATCAAGATTTGGTGGATCTATAGGATTGCTATATTGTTTCGGACAAGTGGGACAATTTCTCTAATAATACTTAGAACATCGTTTCGTAAACCCTTTTTAGGCGGTCGGCTGTGCATTGAATGTTCTAGGATTTGGAGAATCTGTGGCTGGATTGGTGGGTTTAGAATCGGCATGGACAGAACGTGGTTTTGCTTGTGCTGCTGTTATCCTCTTATCTGTTATTAACATTGCTGGTGTTAAGTGGGTCATAAAACTTCAATTTATTCTGTTACTGATTTTATTGTTCGCTGGCGTAGATTTTATGGTTGGCAGTTTTACCCACGAAAATGTCGGTGAGCGAATGATGTTCATTTCAATTGTATGTGTATTTTTGATAGATAGTTAATTCTGTATATCGTCTAGGGGCTGGTTTCGAGGGATGGTTCTCAGGAAATTTGAGAAATAATACTTTTACCAACTATCAGGATGGATACAGTTGGTTTACAGTTTTCGGTGTATTTTTCCCAACAGTAACAGGTGTCTTGGCTGGTATTAATATGAGCGGTGACCTAAGACATCCTTCTACCGACATTCCTAATGGTACATTGGCAGCTGTAGGAACTGGGTAAAAATGGCAGTTTAGATACAATGGTAGCCTCGTAATACGTTACGAGACTCACCCTGTATATCCACATTTCAGTAGTAAAAAAAATAATTTCTATATCTATATTTCAGAACATTTTTATATTTATGCTTCTCGATGGTTCTTGCTGCGACTTGCACTCGCAAAGCACTATTAACCAACTTTATGATCGCATCGACGGTATCGGCGATTTCAGTTTTGCTGCTGGCAGGACTTTACGTTTCATCATTTAGCAGCTGTTTGGGTGCGATGTACGGTACACCTCGGGTTCTTCAGTCTATCGCTAGTCAAAATGTTATTCCTGGAATAAGTTGTTTGCAAAGAGGGGTAAATACATTTTGCACTTTGTCAATTGCACGATGTTAAGATGACTTATCGAATTTTCTTTTAGAAAGGACCAAATAAGGTGCCTGTGTATGCAATGCTAGTTGTTGCGATAGTTACACTGACTTTCATCATTACCGGTCAGATTAACACGCTCGCACCAATTGTCACGATGCCTTTTCTACTGACGTACGCTTGCATGGATTACGCGTATTTTGCCCTTGCGCAGACATTCGATATACAATTGTCACGGGAACAGAGATTTCGAACGCAGTCTCCCACGTTCGATCGTGATTATGGTTCCGCAAGTAGAAGCAATTCGATGACTGATATGGATAACGATCTCGATAATTTATTTCCTGAAAGAATAAGGCATAAAAATCTGATGGTAGGTAAAGGATGATAAAGGGTGCGGCAAAATAAATACGAGTCTCGTGTAAAAGATTATATATATATATATCTTGATTCTAGAGAAATCCCAGTCTTTCCGAAAACAATGTTTATATAGATTCCTCTCCTAGTATTGACGAAAACGGGAGCAGTACGGATAATTCGGAGAGGAAAGTACATATCCATAATAAATTAGGAAATTGGTACAGTCCTTTGTGCAATAGATGGTTTTCTCTGTTAGGAGTGAGTCTCCTTTTATAGCATTTATAATTTATTTTACATAAGAAACCGCAGTATAATTACAATTGGTGTTCTAGAATTTAATAAGAGTTTACTTTCTAGTGCCTTATAAAATTACTCATCATGTTTCTCGTTCACTGGGGTTACGCAATTGCTAATATCGTTGTCGTGTTCTTCGTTTGGAGTTACATCGGCCATGCGAATCCTGCAGTTAAACCAGGAGTTTCGTCCGAATTTAAATTTTTCAAGTGGATGAGAATGTCATTGTTGAGACTCATGGGGTAATTGTTTATAATATTATCGCGTCTTTTGACAACTATATTTTTCAATATCTTTGCGAATTACAGGAGAAAGGTTTACGATTACGAACAGATCGTTGTGACGCCTGTGCATCCGGGCGTGGAAACTTGCTCTGCACAGTTGAACGAGGAGAACGAAGATTTCGCAGGAAGGAGAAGGTATCATCAAACGGCCACGGTAACAGGACAGTATGTTAACGTTGACTAAGAAGCAATTGAAGAGATAGACTCAGCAGGATAATAACAATTAAGTGAAAATGTCGTATGGAAAATAATATATAAAATTATTTTAACAGAAGGAATTGTATAGGAGTTATAACTACTTTCGTACTTCAGAGTAGAATGAGGCTCTAACGATGGTATTGACCGCACAAAACTAGTCTATTTAAAAAGATTTCATATCCTAGGCACAGGGAATTCTTCATGAGATACCATGTGATAGCCTTAACTTTAATAATCAAATAAGAAAAAAAGGACAGTACATGTCGAGAAATCAATGCATAGATACAATTGAGGAATCATACTGCCAGAAGTATGCCTGATCTTCTTTTTACACAGTGAAAGCGTATCGAGTAAATGAAAATTGTTTAAAGAAAATTCATCTTTGCACAGTTAAATTTGTTATTTAAATACACGAATTTCGTCATTTTAAACTATGTATCTAGTTCTTACTGTTCTCGAGATATACATCAAAATATGTTATGCAACCCTAAGTTTGAGGGGTGTTTTCACCCCTTCAGCACCTGATTAATTTTAAAACTCGCGTTAACTGTGAATAAATCGTTTAAAAAATCTCTGGATTAATCGTTTGAAAAAATATCGTGTAAAAGAAAGATCAAGTGTGTTTTTAACAATGAAGGGTCCATACTTTCAGTGAATTAATTTAAGAATTGTCTATCATGAGATTACTTCTCCTTTATAATTCTTATCTGTAGTTAATGATTAAATCGTAATATTTTATGTATCGCGAAACTAATCGTAAGCGTTGGATATCATACCATTTATAACAAATACTCTGTACATATGTAGTAGTAATAACATATTTATATGCTATTTAACATTTTTATAAACGTCGCTACAGAGATGAGTATGTTATTAATGAAATAAACATATATATTAACAGACAAAATATCAGCCACAATTTTATTTCACTTCTTTTTCTCCGATATAAATGTTTCGCTTAATCGAAAACTTAAAAGTGAATTCATATTTTCGCGGGCTTCTCTAATTCCTAAAATTACAATTATTTTTTTCCCGCCGAACATTGTTGTGACTCAGAAGGTACTTCACAGACTTGATTCGATTCTGGAAGTACTTCGCAGTGCTTCGCAGTTTGAAAATGGTGCTATGTCGTGCTTGTGCTGTGCGAGTAATTTTGCTTTTCTAATATCAAATATATACATGTATATGTATTCTGAGTTGTTTCTGATTTTATTGTTGATAATATTAGAGTCCGTGCGATACGTAAGTGATTATTTTGTTAAGTGATTATTTTGTTCCTTAATTTGTTCGTTTGCGTACATCACGATGTAGTAATGACGTAGAAGATTAAAGGCGGGATAACAAGGTAAGTCTTAAGAGATACATTATTTGTTCAAGCTTCTACTGCTTATCAAAAATGCTTGATTTTCGACAACTGCTTTATAATGCAGCTATAAAATAAATAATATCATATAATATGAAGATGTGAATTATTTGAATACGAATTTGTTAGTTGTGAAATTGAATATGTGCACCGAGGGGATATCAATTCTTCTCGGGAATAAGTCTCTTCCTGACCATGAAAGGTACTAAGTAAAAGAGTTGACCTTTTAAATGAATATCAGATATTTGAGTCCTCTAACAAGTTTTAATTTACGTAAGCTATGAGAAAGTTGATTCGCAAGAGTAAGTAATAGTTGCAAAGCAAGTCAGCAGACGACCAGCATGTTCCAAATCATTCAAATCACATGTTTTGTTAACATGCCTATATTGTCTTGCTATCATTTTGCAAGGAAGACGGATTATTCATTGAATTATTTCATACTTTCGATATCCATATATTTAGTTTTCGATTTCTCGGAAGCTTTCAAATCACGAATGTGATTCTTATTTATTTTTAATTCACGTTCTGCTCATATTGCTGGTATGTGTTCGGACGCCGTTAATCGGTTCTAAGTACGAACAGTATACCCGCGGCGAGAGTTTCGGAAGCTAGGAGGTCCGCGGTGATCTCGCGGCGAACCGCGACGGTTAACCCTTCCTCTGTACGACCTCTTAGGCGGTCGTGTTAAAATCCTGTGTTACGCTGGAGAATGCGAGATAATTAGTTACCACTTGTATTTCTGATTGTTGCCATTCTGCGAATTTAAAGTTCCACAGTTCTTGCAATATTTATGCAGAAAAGTTAATTATGGCTCGACTGCAAAATTACAGTGAAACTGAGTCTTTTAACATCTAACAGAAAATTAAGTTGTCTAATGCAACATTAAAAAAGTTATTTTGAAATGCGTCCTAATATTAATGGAGTCACTATATTTAAAAAAGTCAAACCTACACTGATGTTTCTTCAATTTAACAAAAATCATGATGTTTATTATACTTTGGATATCGCATATATTTTGGAAATTTTCCTAAAATCCTTAGTCCAGTTATAGTATTAAATTTCAAAGCTTTCCGTCGAACAGCAAAAAATTCAATATTCTCTTTTCACGTTACCTCACGTTTTCTTATCAAACGAGTTTCGAAAGTAACGAATCGATGCGTTTTATTACGGGACGCGCATGATATTCTGTAGCTCGAGAAGTATTATCGGAAATTTATTCAAAAGGGTGATTGTGTATACATAGCAAGCAGGGTTTACGTAAACGGGCTGCTTTATCCAAGAACCGTTGGAAAAGCGAGGGGTTGAGTTCTTAACAATTCGCAGAAACAAGAAGCCTTTCTAAAAAGTTGTTGGGGAACTGAGATCGAATCTACGTCCGGTGGAGAACGTTCGAAAAATGTCTAATGCAAACTTCGTAGGTTCTCACGAATTATCTACTGACAGTGATATATCGTTTTGCTTTCGAGTACATTCTTCTAGCGTTATTTCTTTATTATTATCTATTTATTTTATTCCATCTTTACACATTGTCTTAGGACTTAAATGCAATCGAATCTTATACCCAACAGAAGATTAATTAAATCTTTTAAACATAATAATAATAATAATAATATAACATAGGAAATATGGTTTAAGTAATCTATTGCACTTCTTGTTTCATCATTTTCTTATTCTTATTGTAATTATTCATTATTGTGAGATATGTAGACCTGAATGCAATAATAATTGATAAACATCTAAGTTTTGGTAAAGCTCAGTTTATTTATCTTTTTTACATCTTGTTTCATCGTAATAGAATGGATCGAACGAAGAATCCGGATATTGGATCCCCGGGTAAGCGGCAGCTTAGTGTGATCGAATAAAAACACGCGGTATTGGAATAATAACGGGGATGTTTATGCAAGAGTTTCGTTCCCAAAGAGTACCTCCCTCTCAACTGACCGAGCAGTATTTTAGAATCATCGGATTATCGTTTTACATTCGTTCCCTTTATTCTGGAGGTAATTGCTGAATTCTGAAGTTGGCATTAATGTTATCTCTATTTTCATTCACTTTCAAGTTTCACACTTTACATCACTTGAGGCTGTTCTGACTATACAATCTTCGCGAAAAATTATACATATTCTAAATAAAGTGTATTCCCTGATTTTCTATGTAGCTACTCGAGGTGGAAGACTATTTTAATTGGAATGTGATAAAATGATTACTCAAAAGATAACATAGGAAATATGGTTTAAGTAATCTATTGCACTTCTTGTTTCATCATTTTCTTATTCTTATTGTAATTATTCATTATTGTGAGATATGTAGACCTGAATGCAATAATAATTGATAAACATCTAAGTTTTGGTAAAGCTCAGTTTATTTATCTTTTTTACATCTTGTTTCATCGTAATAGAATGGATCGAACGAAGAATCCGGATATTGGATCCCCGGGTAAGCGGCAGCTTAGTGTGATCGAATAAAAACACGCGGTATTGGAATAATAACGGGGATGTTTATGCAAGAGTTTCGTTCCCAAAGAGTACCTCCCTCTCAACTGACCGAGCAGTATTTTAGAATCATCGGATTATCGTTTTACATTCGTTCCCTTTATTCTGGAGGTAATTGCTGAATTCTGAAGTTGGCATTAATGTTATCTCTATTTTCATTCACTTTCAAGTTTCACACTTTACATCACTTGAGGCTGTTCTGACTATACAATCTTCGCGAAAAATTATACATATTCTAAATAAAGTGTATTCCCTGATTTTCTATGTAGCTACTCGAGGTGGAAGACTATTTTAATTGGAATGTGATAAAATGATTACTCAAAAGAATTTTTAATAACTATGACACTCGTTTAACTACTATTTTCTCGTCGTTTTAATATTACGTTTTGGAAATTTTTACTGTTACTGTCTCATTTTCAACTGTTTCAGAACTTTTGTGTATGTCAATGATAAATTGTGTATTTATAATAATATTTATTTTGTTATCTTCTAAGTCCTCATTATTATCGATGAAATATTTTTCTAAGATAATAAGTTATTATTGTGGAAATTTCCAAAATCCTGGTACTGTTCATTCTTCAGTTTCTTCCTAATTTGATTAAAATCTCATGACCTACAGTTACAAAGCTCATCCAGTTGTGTTCTCATCCAACACACAGTTGCGATCGGCACCCCTTTCTCTCGAGATAAGATGAAACTACTTCATCTGGTCCAGCCGCTTCCGGCGCGGCTGCGGCGTGACGGCACGTTAGTAGCTGGCTAGGTGTCGGGGTGGCAAAAGGGGTTGGAGGGTGCACAGTGACGGGTGACGGTTTCGAGTGGAGTGGCGGGAGGGTTAAAAAGGCGGGGAGGGTTGTTCTGGGACGCCGGGCGGACGACTGGTGGGGTGAATACGGTCGGGGGTGTTCGCCGGTGTGGGATCCTAGTCGGATGCCGGATCCGCGGTGGAAATTTCAGTGCGCGATCAACCACCGACGTGTGTTTACGGTCGGAGCTCCAGCGGAAGCTGCGAGGCTGCTGCGCGGGGGTGAGAAAACATTTTTTGCTTCAAGCCTTTGATTTACTTTCTATCTACCACCGCCAAAAAATACTAAACTACCATTTTTGTGTATATGTATAATCATTTTGCAAAAATTTCTTACTTAGAAAAGTTTTGTTTCGATTGTGGTTTCATTTAGTGAATATGGTTTCCACTTCCCTTTTGAAGTTGGCTGTCTAATTTTTATAAGTTACAAAAGTTTAGTTATGAAATGAATTTAACTTTCGATATCACATCATTTAGTAGGGAAATTAAGAGAATAGTATACTCATTATTTTAACGAGTTGATATAAAAATTAATAGTAGTTTACCTTCTTGCATTGTATACTGATTTGTCAGTCATCGTTCGCCGTTCGAGCGATCTCGGTTTGGATATCAAAATTAGGGTAGAAACGTGAAGGTTTCTAGTGGGTTTCCCTTTTTCTGGAATTACTGTGACAGTGATTGGTGGATTTATGGGGGTGTTTGGTTGAACGTGGGGAATTGCCACGTGTCTTAACAGCCGGCTCGCGTGCGAGCTTCCCGCTTAACGAGCCACTCGTTAAAGCCTTCGAAATTTCGCCGATTCTCGAGAGTTCATTTCGACGTGTGTCCCGGTTATTCGATGACCGAGACGATTCATCGAGTGCAGAGTAAGCCAGGATGCACAGTGGTATTCCATGAAAACGTTTGATGTTGACGCGTTTTTAATCCTCTTTTTTCATTTTTCTGCAATTTGTCATTAGAAAATTGTAATCAATTTTAAATCAATTTAA